TACAAGGCCGGCGACCCTGTTATTCTATATGTCAACAAAGTGGGACCTTACCATAACCCTCAGGAAACTTACCACTACTATCAGCTTCCAGTCTGCTGCCCTGAGAAGATACGTCACAAAAGCCTTAGCCTGGGTGAAGTGCTGGATGGGGACCGGATGGCTGAGTCTTTGTATGAGATCCGTTTTCGGGAAAACGTGGAGAAGAGAATTCTGTGCCACATGCAGCTCAGTTCTGCACAGGTCAGCCTCTCCACATTGGCTATCCCATAGCCCTCCTTCCCAGAGACTAACAGTGCCTTACATTTATGGTTCAGAGTACCTTGATGGAAACTGTCTGATTTGATTCCAACTACAATACAACCCAGTATGGCAGGCAGGGCATGCAATGCTATTATAATTAAGTGGACTAAGATACGTGCTTGCTCAGAAGTGACTTTTCTCAAGATTACATGGACAGTGAATTGCAGAACTGATATCAGAGCCCAGGATTTCTTACTGCAAGCTTCTCTGTTGGCCATAAGGTCTCAACTATCAGTCCTACATAGCTCTGTTGCCTTCCCTACCTACCTCTTGGCTGTTTCTTAAACTGTCTCCTGTAGTCTCTACCTAACCGTCCTTGTCATGCTTTTTCTTTAGTGAATCCTGGTACTTCTTAGTCCACTCCAGACTTCCTTACACTACACCACTCTTCTTTTTCTAGGCCCTAACCCTGTCAAGTCATACTTGCCCTTTTAGGGAGGACCTCAACATTCTAGAGTCTAACCCAGTGATTCTCAAGGGAACAGTTTTGTCCCCCAGGGGAGATTTAGCAAGTCTGAAGATATCTATCTATCTATCTATCTATTTATTTATTTATTTCTCTTTCTTTTTTATAATTTTCTGCTTACTAGCCTATATGGAGACATTTTTTGTTGTTACTACTGTGGGGTGCTATTGGCATGTAGTGGGAAGAGGCCAGGAAGGCTACATCCTGCAGTGCACAGGACAGCCCCACTATGACAAAAAATTATCTACCCCAGGCCGGGTGTGGTGGCTCATGCCTGTAATCCCAGCACTTTGGGACGCCGAGGCAGGTGGATCATGAGGTCAGGAGTTTGAGCCAGCCTGGCCAACATGGTGAAACCCTCTCTCTACTAAAAATACAAAAATTATTGGATGTAGTGGTGGGTGCCTATAATCTCAGCTACTTGGGAGGCTGAGGCAGGAGAATTGCTGGAACCCAGGAGGTGGAGTGAGCCAAGATTGCACCACTGCACTCCAGCCTGGGTGACAGAGCAAGACACCGTATGGGGTGGTGGGGGAGGGAAGGAATTATCTACCCCAAAATATCAGTAGTGCTGAAGGTGAGAAACTTTGCTCTAATTCTGTGACTGGGGAGGTCTTGTGTGACCAACTCCTGATTTGCTCTTTATAGGTGGAGCAGCTGCGCCAGGCCATCGAAGAACTGTACTACTTTGAATTTGTGGTAGATGACTTGCCAATCCGGGGCTTTGTGGGCTACATGGAGGAGAGCGGCTTCCTGCCACACAGCCACAAGATAGGACTCTGGACTCATTTGGATTTCCACCTAGAATTCCATGGAGACCGAATTATATTTGCCAATGTTTCAGTGCGGGATGTCAAGCCCCACAGCTTGGATGGGTTACGACCTGACGAGTTCCTAGGCCTTACCCACACTTACAGCGTGCGCTGGTCTGAGACTTCAGTGGAGCGTCGGAGTGACAGGCGCCGTGGCGATGATGGTTTCTTTCCTCGAACACTGGAAATCCACTGGTTGTCCATCATCAACTCCATGGTGCTTGTGTTTTTACTGGTGGGTTTTGTGGCTGTCATTCTAATGCGTGTGCTTCGGAATGACCTGGCTCGGTACAACTTAGATGAGGAGATGACCTCTGCAGGTTCTGGTGATGACTTTGACCAGGGTGACAATGGCTGGAAAATTATCCATACAGATGTCTTCCGCTTTCCCCCATACCGTGGTCTGCTCTGTGCTGTGCTTGGTGTGGGCGCCCAGTTCCTGGCCCTTGGCACTGGTGAGGTGATAACAATGAATTGGGGATTTCTCTTATGGGATAGAACTAGGTAGGGAGTTTGTTCAGAAAAGGTCTGTGGATCTTCTCTTCTATCCAGAGGGGCAGACCTAAGGAACAGGGTGGCTCTAGCAAGGATGCATGTATTCTGTTGTAGATTTTCTGGATAGTAAAACTGGGGGAGATTGTTTTGCTGGAGGACCTTAGTCTGGGAGAAGGGGGGCTTATTCCTCTGAAATTGCTAGGAGAGAGACAGGTGAGGCCTAACATGGGCTTTCCACTACCGTCCTGCAGGCATTATTGTCATGGCACTGCTGGGCATGTTCAATGTACACCGTCATGGGGCCATTAACTCGGCAGCCATCTTGTTGTATGCCCTGACCTGCTGCATCTCTGGCTATGTGTCCAGCCACTTCTACCGGCAGATCGGAGGCGAGCGTTGGGTGTGGAACATCATTCTCACCACCAGTCTCTTCTCTGGTGAGGACTTCCCTTTCCCTGGTGGGCCTTTCTGGACTTAGGAATTAAGAACACACTGTGGCTGGGCACAGTGGCTCACACCTGTAATCCTAGCACTTTGGGATTAAATGTCCTAGGCAGCGTGGTAAGCACTCAGCAATACCTGTGTGAAATAGGTAATATTTCCATTGCACAGATGAGGAACTGAACTAAAGCTGCTTAAGTAACTTGTCTGAGATTACACTCCTAAAAAGTAATGAACCAGGTTTCAGACCCAAGCAGTCTGACTTGTATTCTCACCCATTACAGTAAAATAATACCCCTGAATTGTTATTTTGAAGGTGGGCCCACTCTAGGCTTTCAAACTGGATTGCCCTTTCAAAGGCAGTACTAGTCTCTGTTCTGAACCCTTCTTGTTCCCAATCCTATGTGTCTTATTTATATCCCATCACATTTATATTTGAACCAAGGCTTTCTGAAAACAGGGCCTTAATCCAAAGGAATGTCTCATGCGAAGAATTACCAATTCCAGGGCAAGATGGGCCTCAGGAGGCAGGTGGATTTCTAATACTCCCAGATTATGTAGTAGCTACCTTGATCCTTAATGACACAGAGTTGGGGGGTAGTGTTGGTAAGAAAAAGAGCAAAGAATAATGGGATCTGAAAGGGTGGCGGTGAAGGCATTTGATTCTGCAGAGACATCCAGGAGCATAAGTCTGCTGTTAGAGTGGCAGGCTGCTTTACCCCCCTCCCCTTTTGGTCCTGGATGTAAGTGGGTGCCCTTAGAGATGTAGCTCCTAGTGTTGACCCTCCCTCTGGGGGCCCATCCCTGCAGTGCCTTTCTTCCTGACGTGGAGTGTGGTGAACTCAGTGCATTGGGCCAATGGTTCGACACAGGCTCTGCCAGCCACAACCATCCTGCTGCTTCTGACGGTTTGGCTGCTGGTGGGCTTTCCCCTCACTGTCATTGGAGGCATCTTCGGGAAGAACAACGCCAGCCCCTTTGATGCACCCTGTCGCACCAAGAACATCGCCCGGGAGATCCCACCCCAGCCCTGGTACAAGTCTACTGGCATCCACATGACTGTTGGAGGCTTCCTGCCTTTCAGGTATCCTCCCTTTATTCCAGTACTATCACTCTCAAGTTCCTGACCTCACCTTTTCCTATCCCTACTTATCCAGTACCCTAACCCAACTTCGGTGATGATGTGTTGTTCAGCAGTACCATTCAGAGATCATTAAATGGTTCCTCCTATCCCCAAGCAGGACTGAGCTTGAATCAGTTCAGATATGAGAGTATCTCACTTATAAAGCTCTCTAGAGACATCTCCCTCTTCACCTTCCTGGTTTCCAACCTTAGTGTCTATGGCCATCATGTGAGACTTAAAGCCTATTTGATTACTCATTTACTTTGTTGAATACCTCTTTGTGCCAAGCAGAGAATGAAGTGGAAAGTAAAATGGACAACATCCCTGCCCTTAACCTATCAGGGAAGATACTCTTGAAGTGAGAGCAGTTAATCATAGGCAAAAAATTCCCATGAAGCTAGGAGTTCTGGGGCAGAGAGTGGAGTGAACTCACTTTTCACAATGACCCAGCAACATGGGAGAGGGTGGGGGCTGGATTTTGGCCCAGCCACCGTGCTGACAGTGCACAGCCCTTTAATGCTGTGTATCATCTCTTTTCTTCACAGTGCCATCTCTGTGGAGCTGTACTACATCTTTGCCACAGTATGGGGTCGGGAGCAGTACACTTTGTATGGCATCCTCTTCTTTGTCTTCGCTATCCTGCTGAGTGTGGGGGCTTGCATCTCCATTGCACTCACCTACTTCCAGTTATCTGGGGAGGATTACCGCTGGTGGTGGCGATCTGTGCTAAGTGTTGGCTCCACCGGCCTCTTCATCTTCCTCTACTCAGTTTTCTATTATGCCCGGCGCTCCAACATGTCTGGGGCAGTACAGACAGTAGAGTTCTTTGGCTACTCCTTACTCACTGGTTATGTCTTCTTCCTCATGCTGGGCACCATCTCCTTTTTTTCTTCCCTCAAGTTCATCCGTTATATCTATGTTAACCTCAAAATGGACTGAGTTCTGAATGGCAGAACTACTGCTGTTCTCTCCCTTTCTTCACGCCCCGTTGAGCTGTCCTACCAGCTTCTCTTTTGATTGAGTGACTGAACTGTGTGATGGCATTGTTGCCTTCCCCTTTGCCCTTTGGGTCTTCCTTCCCCAGAGAGGGCCTGGAAATTATAAATCTCTATTATATTAAGGAATATATATTTGAACTTTTTAAGTTGCCTTTAGTTTTGGTCCTGATTTTTCTTTTTACAATTATCAAAATAAAATTTATTAAGAAAAAGGATCATGTAGTTGGAGGTTTTGGTCTGGATATAGAAACGCGAGCCCTGCTGTTAACGGCACGGCCCTTTAGAAAGCGGAGCTGGCCACGGAATAACCGAATTTCGAGTTCTCCAACCCAGCTTGGGAACTCTCAGCGTGGGGAACCTACATTGCCAGAGCACGGTTTCCGCGACTCAGCCGGTGCTCAGCCTAACGGAAGTGGAGGAGCCGGACGTCTTTGTGGGAAGTGAATTGAATCACCTTGGCGACCCGCGGGGCGTGCGGCAACGCCCTTTCCGCCGGAAGTGGCTGTCAGCCTCCACGTGCTGTCCCTCCCCCTCCCCCTCCCCCTTTCAGCCCAATAGCGGCGGCTCAGCTGCTGCCATGGAGCCCGCCAGTCTGGAGCAGCTCTTACGGGAACTGCTGCTGCCGGACACCGAGCGCATCCTTCGGGTATGGAGCGGGCGTAACCGACCAGGGCGAGCGGGAGGTTGCGGGAAAGGCCCGACTCTCACTCCTAGCTTTCCCCTAGGCCACGGAACAGCTCCACATCGCTCTGCGGGCCCCCGCCGCCTTGCCGGCTCTCTGCGACCTGCTCACCTCGGCAGCCGACCCCCAGGTGAGACCCCTGCACTGGCCAAGCCCCAGTAAACGCCCCGTGCGGTCCCCTCAGCACCTTCCTTACCGGACCCCCACATGCCTACTTCCTCGTCCCAGATCCGCCAGTTTGCGGCCGTGCTGACCCGCAGACGATTGAACACCCGCTGGCGACGGCTGGCGGCGGAGCAACGGGAGAGGTGGGCTGGGCCTGGGGCGGGGCGGGGCCAGGTGGAAGCTTTTCTTGGGCAGGCCGGGTACCAAACACCTGCCATCTGTGTTCTAGCCTCAAGTCCCTGATCTTGACGGCCCTGCAGAGAGAAACAGAGTGAGTATCTACTCCCTTCTCTCGGGATCTTGACGACCTTCTTTGGGTTTCTGCCTTCCCCTTCAGCTGCAGGCTGGGACTTGGGGGGCAAGGACTTCCGTTCTAGACCAAAGTGAAGATTTTAAGGCTGTTTCGAAGACTGAAGTTCTTGAGAAAGGGTGATGATGATCTGGCAAACCAAAGTCAGAAGAATGAGACTGAAATTCAGGCTAAGTAAGACTGAGCTTACCAGATTACATGCCCGCAGTGCAGCTGGGCTCCCTCTGAGCTTCTATCTCATGTGTCCCAACTTGGCAAAGACCCTGTGCCCACCACTCCTGAAAGTTTCCCTCCTGGCTGCCCCAATGAGTCTGGCCACTCAAGAGGAAGGCATTGGAGGGTGACTGGAGATCTCTCCTGTTTGCAGGCACTGTGTGATCCTCAGCTTGGCCCAGCTTTCAGGCACCATTTTTCGAAAGGAAGGCCTGGAGGCCTGGCCTCAGCTTTTGCAGCTTCTTCAGCACAGTACCCACAGCCCCCACAGCCCAGAGAGAGAGGTACCATTACATAGTTGGCAGGAGGAGGGAGGGCCCAAGAGGCCGGATAGACCATGTAAGCTCGCCCTCCCATCCTCTACTCTTGGACAGATGGGGCTTTTGCTGCTGAGTGTGGTGGTGACCTCCTGGCCCGAGGCCTTCCAACCCCACCATAGGGAGCTTCTTCAGCTTCTGAATGAGACTCTTGGTGAGGTGGGCTCTCCTGGGCTGCTCTTCTACTCCCTGCGTACTCTGACCACCATGGCCCCCTACCTCAGCACTGAAGATGTGGTGAGATGTGGGCCCACTCATATCACTGACTGCCTTTCCTCAGGCCTTCATGTCCTCACCCTTAAAAGTTACAAAGCTGTGCCAGACATGGTGGCTCATGCCTGTAATCTCAGCACTTTCAGAGGCAAAGGCACGCAGATCACAAGGTCAAGAGATCGAGACCATCCTGGACAACATGGTGAAACCCTGTCTCTACTAAAAGTACAATAAATTAGCCAGGTGTGGTGGTGTGTGCCTATAGTCCCAGCTGCTCGGTAGGCTGAGGCAGGAGAATCACTTGAACCAGGGAGGCAGAGGTTATGTGAGCTGAGATCGCACCTCTGCACTCTAGCTTGGCAACAGAACGAGACTCTGTTTCAAAACACACAAACACACACCCTACAAAACTGCTTTGGATTCTTTACCTGCCTTTGGCCCCTACACACACACACACACACACACACACACACACACACACCCAAAGCTGCTTTGGATTCTTTACCTGCCTTTGGCCCTTCCTGACAATTGAGAGGGGATGCTGTAGGTGGGCCTGGCTTGTTCCTGGGCTCCTCCTCACAATTCAGGCTGTGAGGAAGCTGCCAGCTGTTGGGTTGTAAGATTAGGCTGCATCATGCTCTCTGTGATGTGTCTTTTAGCCTCTCGCTCAGATGTTGGTGCCTAAGCTGATTGTGGCAGTGCAGACCCTGATCCCCATAGACGAGGTGAGGACAGGTGGGCAGGAGCTCTGTTGGAAGGAGAGTGCAGAAGTGTCAGCTGGGCCCACTGAAGAAGAGCATGGTCACCCTGTGCCTTGTTTTGTCTGTCAGGCAAAGGCCTGTGAGGCCCTTGAGGCTTTGGATGAACTGTTGGAGTCAGAGGTACCCATCATCACTCCCCACCTCTCTAAGGTCCTCACATTCTGCCTGGAGGTGAGCCTGGAATGGACATGGCACCGGCTACATGCCCTGCTGGGACTTTGCTTGCCTGGCTCTGATTCTTATTATTCTCTGGACAGGTGGCTAGAAATGTGGCCCTGGGCAATGCGATACGTGTACGTATCCTTTGCTCCCTCACTTTCTTGGTCAAAGTCAAAAGCAAGGTGAGTTACCATTGACACATCACCAACTGTCCATCTCCACCCTTAATCTCACTTTTGGGGCTTTCTGTCCATCTCAGGGTATCTAAAGTACTATGGGGGTTCAAGCCTTGCCCTGGCCTCACCCCAACTCCTGCCTCGGATATTGGGAATCTTCTGTCAGACCCCTATGGCCTGGAAGACTGTTTTTTTTTGAGATAAGAGTTTTGCTCTTGTTGCCCAGGCTGGAGTGCAATGGTGCAATCTCAGCTCACCACAACCCCTGCCTCCTGGGTTCAAGTGATTCTCCTGCCTCAGCCTCCCAGTAGCTGGGATTACAGGCATGTGCCACCATGCCTAGCTAATTTTGTGTTTTTAGTAGAGATGTGGTTTCTCCATGTTGGTCAGGCTGGTCTTCAACTCCCCGCCTCAGGTGATCTGTCTGCCTTGGCCTGCCAAAGTGCTAGGATTGCAGGCATGAGCCACCATGCCTGGCCAAGACTGGAATTTTTAATGTGAGCCCATCCTGGGAGCAGATTCTTAGGGACACTGTTGCATGTTCTCCATCAAGGCCTTACTAAAGAATCGTCTCCTGCCACCCTTGCTGCACACCCTTTTCCCCATTATGGCTGCTGAGCCCCCACCAGGCCAGTTGGATCCTGAAGACCAGGATTCAGAAGAGGAAGAGTGGGAGATTGAGCTGATGGGGGAGACTCCCAAGCATTTTGCTGTACAAGTGAGATGTGGGGCAGGACGGGGGGAAAGGTGTTAGGTGGCTGTGGGAGGTTGGTGAGGCAGAGATGGAGTCGAGCAAAGTAAGTCTCCCCATCCCATCTCAGGTTGTGGACATGCTGGCGCTACACCTGCCCCCTGAGAAGCTCTGTCCCCAGTTGGTAAGTATGGCTCTGTCCTTCTGGTGTCCCTACCTCCAGATGTGCCTAGTCCCCTGAGGCCAAGGACGTTTAGATCCTGGGAGGTGTGAAGGCCTATTGCCACAGGAATGGGCAGGCTCTTGCTGGGGTTTCAGGAGAGTACCACATGCTTCCCTAGATGCCCATGCTACAAGAGGCCTTGCGGAATGAGAGCCCATACCAGCGCAAGGCTGGACTCCTGGTGCTGGCCGTGCTGTCTGATGGAGCTGGCGACCACATCAGGCAGAGGTATCTGTTCCCCTGTCCCAGGGTGAGGGTTGCCCACAGGGAGGACCATGGCTGTCCTGGTTTACGCTTGTTGTTCAAGCTTATTTATCAACAGCATTTCCTCCCATTCTCAAAAGTGTCCTGGCTTGGAAGATAAATGACTGGGCTTCTCAGCTATAGGGACCAGGGGCTGCTGCCCACCCTCTGGTGACAGGAAAAGCCTTGGTTTTTCCAGGAGAAATGAAGAGAACAGGTCAGCCTAGGGTTCTCAAGTGTAGCTCCTCAGCCTGTGTCTTCTTGTGCTGCCCCATCCAGACTGCTGCCCCCACTACTGCAGATCGTGTGTAAGGGCTTAGAGGACCCCTTGCAAGTTGTACACAATGCTGCGCTGTTTGCCCTGGGCCAGTTCTCAGAAAACCTACAGGTGAGCCAGGCCGAGTGTGGGAACCACCACTTCAGTGTCTCCTTCCCCTCACCTTTCATCTCTTCTAGCATTCCTGCTGCCATTAGCACTCTGGTGTGTGCCCTGCAGGTGAACCTGACTCAGGCCCTGCTTGCTCCTTCCTCCAGCCCCATATCAGCAGCTATTCAAAGGAGGTGATGCCGCTGCTGCTGGCCTACCTGAAGTCGGTGCCTCTCGGACACACTGTTCACCTAGCCAAGGCCTGCTATGCCCTGGAGAATTTCGTGGAGAACCTGGGTAGTGATGGCAGTGGGGAGCTCAGGGGAGGGGAGTGAGGCTGTGGCTTTGGCTGAATGTACAGGTTGTGCGTCTCCCTGAATTGCTGCCTGGGGGGAAGGGGTGTGATGGCACCACAAAGAGGTTCCCACCTGGAGGGAGGTGGGCATGCAGCAGGTAGGAGACCTGGGTTGGTTGGTAGAGGAGCATCCTTTCCCACAGGGCCCAAAGTGCAGCCCTACCTTCCGGAGCTTATGGAATGCATGCTGCATCCCCTGAGGAACCCCAGCAGTCCCCGGGTCAAGGAGCTGGCTGTGAGCGCCCTGGGAGCTATTGGTGAGGAGAGAGGCAGGAGGCAGGGATGTGGGGCTCACCCAAAGCCCTGCGGTAGGTGGTTCTTGCCCTCTCCAGCTCTGATTCTGTCCTTCCAACCTGCAGCCACGGCTGCCCAGGCCTCACTGCTGCCCTACTTCCCCGCCATCATGGAGCACCTTCGGGAATTCCTGTTGACAGGCCATGAGGACCTTCGGCCTGTGCAGATCCAGAGCCTGGGTGAGTAAGAGGCTCCCAGGTGGGGGTCCCAGTGCCAGCAAAAGGCTGATGCTCACCTGGTGTTCACAGAGACTGCCCCCCCTGGAGCACGGGTGTCTCCTTTCTCATGAAAGGGGGTATTCTTCACGATGTACCAAGGGGTGGGGCGGGATTTCTGAATTCCTCCTAGCTACCACATGTGGTCCCATAGCCCACCTCCACCGCCTGCGTGCTAATGGAGCCCTTGCCCTGACAGAGACACTGGGGGTTCTGGCACGAGCGGTGGGGGAGCCCATGAGACCCCTGGCTGAGGAATGCTGCCAGCTGGGTCTGGGCCTCTGTGACCAGGTAGACGACCCTGACTTGCGGCGCTGCACGTGAGTGACCCTCACACTGCCCCTGCCCGTGTCCCCACCCCTCCTGTTTGCCCACTGAACCCACTGGAGTCCCCACCCTAGACTCTAGTCCTCTGGTTTGGACCATAGCCAGGTGTTCCTGGGCTCCCTCATCCTGTCTGGCTGTAGCAGGCAGGACCATACAGTTTCTTCTTCGTGCTTTGACCAGGTACAGCCTATTTGCGGCCTTATCAGGTCTGATGGGTGAGGGCCTGGCACCCCACTTGGAACGGATCACCACGCTCATGCTGTTGTCACTGCGTTCCACTGAGGGCATTGTGGTGAGCAGACGGTGGGTGGGCTGGGCCAGGCCAACCCTGCGATGGGATTTATCTCCTGGGCCCAGCTGAGCCCAAGTCGTGCCGTGCCTCCACTCCAGCCTCAGTATGACGGGAGCAGCTCCTTCCTTCTGTTTGATGATGAGAGTGATGGGGAAGAAGAGGAGGAGCTCATGGATGAGGACATGGAAGAAGAGGATGACTCAGAGATCTCAGGGTGCAGAGTGGTGCTTTTCTGGTCAGGAGTCTAGACTTTGGTTTTAGACAAGGGCTTAGTGCCTGATCACCACTCCCTCCCCATCCTACTATAGGTACAGCATAGAGAACGCCTTCTTCAATGAGAAGGAAGATGCCTGTGCTGCCCTGGGGGAGATCTCTGTGAACACCAGGTGAGCATTTGTCTTTCCCTGGCACTGAAAACCCTGCCTGGGAGCCCCTTACCCATGGCCATGTCTTTCTCTCTAGTGTAGCCTTTCTTCCGTACATGGAAAGTGTCTTTGAAGAAGTCTTTAAACTGCTGAAGGTGAGTGGACTGATGGGTGGGGTTCTCAGTCTGTGTTCACAGTGCAGACAGTAGGCACATCCTGCCCCTCCTCATCCTGCAGTGCCCTTACCTGAATGTGCGGAAGGCAGCCCATGAGGCGCTGGGTCAGTTTTGCTGTGCACTGCACAAGGCCTGTCAAAGCTGCCCCTCGGAACCCAACTCTGCTGGTGAGAAAGAGAGGCTGGGCCAGGCTGGGGGTTCTCGGTGAGGGACAGGGCCTGACAGGGGCTTCAGCCAATAATATCCCCAGCTTTGCAGGCCGCCCTGGCCCGAGTGGTGCCATCTTACGTGCAGGCAGTGAACGGGGAGCGGGAGCGCCAGGTGGTGATGGCTGTGCTGGAGGCCCTGACTGGGGTGCTCCGCAGCTGTGGGACCCTCGCACTGCAGCCCCCTGGGCGCCTCGCTGAGCTCTGTAGCATGCTCAAGGCCGTGCTGCAGAGGAAGGTGAGCAGGGCAGGTGGGCTTTGGGAAGGAGAGGTGCTGGGCCCAGGTTGGGGACTGGCTACAAGTCCACCCCCAGACCTTCATAAAAAGGGAACAGGCATGAAAGCTCTGGCTAAGTTGAGCTACTTCTTGTAGACAGCCTGTCAGGATACTGACGACGAGGAGGAAGAAGATGATGATCAGGTGAGAGCGAGGGATGAAAACTGGGACCAGGTAGTCTAGGGAGTCTCCATAGAGACAGAGGTGGACAGTGTATTCGGGCTTGGACTGGGACAGCCAGGGCCACTAAAAGAGATTGGTAATGGCCAGAGGGACAAAACTGATACCACTATGCCAGTGGGAGTTCAGTGGACTGGGGTGTGCTTGGAGCAATAGGAGCAGGAGAGCCAGGAGAAAAAGCTGGGCCATGGAAACACCCAGCCTGCAAGGGGTCAGCCCTGTCAACCAAGGGCAGTCCCAGGGACCCCTGCAGCCGGTGGCAGAGTGTGGTGGGGAGATCTGCAGTCACTGAGCTGGCCCTGGTGCTCCAGCCCCTGACCTATCTCCACAGGCTGAATACGACGCCATGTTGCTGGAGCATGCTGGAGAGGCCATCCCTGCCCTGGCAGCCGCGGCTGGGGGAGACTCCTTTGCTCCATTCTTTGCTGGCTTCCTGCCATTATTGCTGTGCAAGACAGTGAGTGTCCATCCTCTGGCTTCAAGCCCTAAACCAGTCACGCACCTGGTGCCCACCCCAGCCTTTATCCTTGGCCCAGGCTAATTGTACTCCCTTTCTGTCCTCCCCCATCAGAAACAGGGGTGTACAGTGGCAGAGAAGTCCTTTGCGGTGGGGACCTTGGCAGAGTCCATTCAGGGCCTGGGTGCTGCCTCAGCCCAGTTTGTGTCTCGACTGCTCCCTGTGTTGTTGAGCACTGCCCGAGAGGCAGACCCTGAGGTGCGAAGCAATGCCATCTTTGGGATGGGCGTTCTGGCAGAGCATGGGGGCTGCCCTGCCCAGGAGTATCCTTGGCTCATAGGAGGGGAGGGACAAGGGGTTGGGAGAGTGTCCTCAGGGCTTCCAGGTGGGCAAGTTATACCTGAGTGTGTGGGCCATTCCTTGACTGTGGACCAGACACTTCCCCAAGCTGCTGGGGCTCCTTTTTCCCCTCCTGGCGCGGGAGCGACACGATCGTGTCCGTGACAACATCTGTGGGGCACTCGCTCGCCTGCTGATGGCCAGTCCCATGAGGAAACCAGAACCTCAGGTGAGGGAGGGAGACATCAGGCAGGGCCTGGAAGGTGAGGAGGGTGGTGGAGGGCAGGGCAAGTTGGCCTGAGATACTTGTGTGTCCAGGTGCTGGCTGCCCTACTGCACGCCCTGCCACTAAAGGAAGACTTAGAGGAGTGGGTCACCATCGGGCGCCTCTTCAGCTTCCTGTACCAGAGCAGCCCTGACCAGGTAACCTTGCTGCTGGCAGCCCTCAGAGGGGAGCATGCCACTCCACTCAGTGATAGGCACTGTCTGCTGATGAGGCTCAGGAGCCCCAGGCTGTCAGTTGCACCTGAGGCAAGGTGACAGTTGTAGCTGTTCTTTGATACATGATGGCACAGGTGGGACTTAGCATTTTTCCTGAGGAAGCTCAATTTGTACCCTTTGGTCTGAGCAAGAAGTTGTAGTTTTCCTAAGCTGGTTTCCTAAGCCAGGGCTCTTTCAAACTGCTCTGTGGAGCCCTGGGTGCCTCTGGGCCACCACGCCATCTGTTTCAATTACATCAGCTCTCTGAAGAGATTTTGCCTGTACCAAGTAGCTAGGTTTGGAGTCATGTTGGAGTGTTTGTGTCACCCTTGTTTTACACCTTTAGAGACTGTTGTGTAGGTGTCTGGGTTTCTTCTTGAGACAGAGTCTCGCTCTGTCACCCAGGCTGAAGTGCAGTGGCATGGCCTTGGCTCACTGCAACCTCCGCCTCCCAGATTTGAGCGATTCTCCTGCCTCAGCCTCCCAAGTAGCTGGGATTACAGGCATCAGCCACCACGCCTGGCTAAGTTTTTTTTTTTTTTAGTGGAGACGGGGTTTCACCATGTTGGCCAGGCTGATCTCGAACTCCTGACCTCAGGTGATCCAGCTGCCATAGCCTCCCAAATTGCTGGGATTATAGGTGTGAGCCACCGTGCCCAGCCGGGTGTCTGGGTTTGTTTTGGTCTTGAGGTTATGACTCTAATCATCTGTCACATATCCCCCATCCCCTCCAAAAAAAGTCATTACCACCAAGTTTCATTGGTCCTTCTCATGTCTTGGATGCCTATGAATCAGTACCAAGCAAAATCACCCCTTATAAGACACTCTGCCACTCCTTGGTCTCGACTACTCCGCCTAGCCCTGGGGTCCAGGGCTGCTGCCCTGAGTCAGCCACTCTTTCCTCACAGGTTATAGATGTGGCTCCCGAGCTCTTGCGTATCTGCAGCCTCATTCTGGATGACAACAAGATCCCACCAGGTGAGGGTAGGAGTCATGGGCAGGGGCTTGGGGTAGGCAGGGAGTAGTAGGGCGCAGAGGGCCTGGGGCAGCGAGGCTTTAGGAGCTCAGACCTTTCTCCCTTTCTCTCCACCCAGACACCAAGGCCGCACTGTTGCTGCTCCTGACATTCCTGGCCAAAGAGCATGCCGACAGCTTCCAAGCAGCTCTGGGCTCACTGCCTGTTGACAAGGCTCAGGAGCTCCAGGCTGTACTGGGCCTCTCCTAGACTGCAGGCTGCAGCCAGGCCAGAGAGAAGGAGCCTGCCCAGGCCTTACCACCACCTCTCAGCCCAGTTCAGTTCTGCCTTACCAAAGATTCTGGACCTCATACCCATTTGGCGCCAGCCCTGCCTACTGCCTTACAGGGCTGTCCCTGAGGCTGGATCTGTTACAAATGAGTTATGACATCATATTGTAATAAAAGCAGTTTGTTTTCTGCTTGAACAATAGCTCTGAGAGCAAGAAGGCTAGACATGCACATTCAGAAATGAGATTCACTGGGCAGGGCCCAGTGAAGCACGGCATGGTTACTGGAAGTGGCCGGTTTCCTGACAGCTTAAATGTACTCTAACCTCGGTGGAATCTGGGCCCCGGCTGGATCAGGAGGCGACCATATGGCTTTTCTTGTTCCACATGAAGAATCTGCTGCGCTGAGAGCACTGGTCAAGAGGGGAGGAAGAGGGCAGGTTGGGGGAGTCCGCGTATGGGCCTTTGGTTTGTGTGTCTCTGCCCCGTATACACACGACGCACACACTTACCCAGGAGCAGGTAGAAGACCCGGGCGGCCATCCTGCGGGGGCTGAGAGGTGACACCAGGCTGCTGAAGTCGGCCTCCCTGTTGGCCTGCAGCTCCAGTGCCACTGCCCTGTAGGGATCAAGAACCATTAGCTGAGGCTTCAGCCCCAGTCCACCCCCCCATCAAGGTACTGCCTCCCTGGTACCTGTGCACAGCTTCCAGTGAGAGCAGCTCAAGCTCTGGGGGTAGCACTAAAGGCATCTCCACAGGCACTTCGGGGAGTTCAGGCACCACAGGCAATGCAGGAGCCTCTGGCTGCTCCATCTCAGCCAAGGCCCTAGAAGAACATAGAAGTCAGAGCAGGGAAGATGGCAGCTGTGACAGTGACAAGGGGTTTACCCATCCTAGCAGCCATTTCCACCATCTGGCCCTGGCTTTCAAAAAGACTGGCTGCTTACCACCGTTCTTCTGGTGGGATGAGGCTGATACGGGACTTCTCCTCTTCAGCTGCCTCCAGGGAGAGCTCTGTTGAGGAAGGAAAGGCACTGGGGGGTATCTGCTTGGGTGGTAGTTAAAACCTTGTGGCCACCTGGCATAAGTGGATGCCAGAGCTGTGCAGTGACTTGTTTTTTTTTTTTATAAGACGGAGTTTTGCTCTTGTTACCCAGGCTGGAGTGCAATGGCGCGATCTTGGCTCACCGCAACCTCCGCCTCCTGGGTTGTTAAAAGCACACAGATGGGGAGCTGAGGAGGACCAGTCTGCATTTATGTCACGTACATACGCCTTCACTCATGATACAGCTTCAGCAGTTCGGGTACTAGTTTCCTGGGGCAGTGATTAGGGTAGTGGTCCCACTTCCCCTCTTTTCTAGGTGCTTACCTGCAGACACCATAAGGGGACCACTGGGCTCCCAGGCCTCCCTCGGGACCTGTGGATGGCAGAAGCAGAAATAAGATCCCAAGCATCTGGGACTTGGGCCCCAGAAGGCCCAAGGCCAGTGAGCCTGTGCTATTGGCTCTTGTGGCAGAAGGCAGCCAACTGGGTCAGGCAGAGCCCAGCCCTGGGACAATGCAGAAAACAGGTGGTACAGTTACCTCAATCTCACTTGGAACTTCAATCCTTTCTTCCTCAGCAGCTGCCTCCCTCTCAGCAGCCTCCTCGGGCAGCTCTCGCCTGAGTGCTCTTGGGGGTGGCTGGGCACAGGAAGTCCAGAGGCCCAGTAGTTCAGGGGGTAGCCAGCCAGCTGTGGACAAGCGGGCAACAGGCACAGGGTTTGAGGTATGAGCAGCACCAGGAATGAGGAATTGGTTTTGAGGATCCTTCTTGCCCAACCCCTGCCATTCTTACATAGAGTTGGGGTTCTGAACAACTCCTCAGGGCTTGTGATGGTCCTCTCAGGAGGCTGCACCATGGGCTGTGTCGTGAGGGAAGGTCAGAAGCCCCATTATGAAGCAGCCACTCCTCAGTGTCCCTTTGTCTCTTTGCAATACGTTGTTCCAGTGCCTCTGGACTTCCCCAGCTTTTGGGCTCATGACCCTGCTTGCCCTGTTCATTACTAAATGGGGTCACTAAAGGAGCACGAAGAGTTGTGTATGTGCAAACCCACATCACATGCATTTTCTGGGGAATGGAGGAGATTTTTCATCAAGTTCCCAGTCCTCCCCATACCCACCTGAGAAGCTTAGAAGGCCTAGCCTCCATCTGCCCCTGGTCATCCCTGCCTCCTTCCCTCCCCCAGCAAAGCCTGGGCTGCACTCACACATTCCCGGCAGTGGGCTCTGGTTTGTAGTTGTTTCCGGAATTTCTCACGGGAGATCTGTGTCTCCTTATCCCAGAACAGTAACTCACGACGACGACCGCGGCGGCGAGGAGGTGGGGGGACCGGGGGCCTCCGCTGAGTGGGGAGGGCAGGTAGGGGCAAGGCTGCCCATTATTCCTTTTCCTATTATTCCAGTGGACTGCTAACAGGGCCCCACACCCTGCCCCTAGAGGAACCTGGGGAAAGGGCTTAAGCGGGGTCTTCATGCACTTGTGCAGCTCATACCTTGCATGAGGGTACCCATCTGGGAAGTAAGTGCAGGCCAGATATGACGGGGCGTAGAAAGGGGCATCTTTTATGATCTGCACTAAGGCTCCCTGTAAGCTAGCAGTGCCCAGGGCTTGAGGAGGCAGCCTGGGAGGGGAGGGCAAACGAAGAGGATAGGAAGGGATGCTACTCACCTCTGGGCTGGGTGGGGCTGGCAGACGAAGTTCCTCTGGGGGGGTCACCTCTGCAACAACACCCAAGGTTGTGGCTCTGTCCCATAAGCCCCTTACCGCTTGCAGACACCAGGGCAAGAAACTGCAGGGTCCTCCCTTCAGCAAGTTGGGATATAGAGCCCTTCTCTGCAGCAGTATCCAGGTCCTCCCAGGTAAGCACCCAGGGCACGGTGGACACTCACCCATGAGCGGGGCCCCAGGCTCCCAGCCTGTCGGCCTCAGCTCCTCAGGGACCAGGACCTGGACTGGAAGTGGCTCTCCTATTCCTTCTACCCTGAGGGGAAATGGGCAAGATAAATGAGGTGACCCTTCCCAGCAGTGACCCCCTACCTGGTCTAGGAATTCCTCCCTTACTCTGCAGGAGCTGGAGGTGAGATCCGGGGGACTATGATTTCGCCCTCTGGGGCCCGGGGCTCCTCCTTTGCCTCTGTGGAGAGAGAATCAGAGTTCAGAGGACAGAAAAGGAGAAATTAAAGCATTGCCCAGTCCCAGACTGCCCATGCCAGGGGTCTGACCTTCCAGTGCCAGGCGTTCCTTAAGCTGCTGGAGACGCCTGGCTTCTAGCAAGATAGCTTCATCTTCCTCTGCAATCAGTAGGTCCAAGTCTCGGCGGCTGACCTCTGGGATATCCCGTTCACCCTGTCCAGAGAGGAAGTGCAAGGGGAGGGGACTCAATAACATTTCTGAAAAGGCAAGTGGATTCAGGAGAGTGGATCAGAGAGGCACACCATAGGGCTGAGTTCAAGGAAGCCACTGGGTGCTCAAGTGCAGGGACAGAGAATAAGGAAATGGAGATGGAAAAGGCAGGGCTCTGGGGGCAGAGAGAAGTAGATGCAAGGGGGCTGGACCTCAGGCCCATGTACAGGGGACAACTCACCTCAATCTGCAGCATCCGTATGGGCTCTGCCTCCTGGATTGTGATGGCCTCAGGGGGAAGTGCAGTGACCAGAATCCTGTCTGGAGGGGCAGGGGAGTCACCAGCCTCTCTGCTTCTTTCCAAATTCCCACAGCCATGCAGTGAGCCAAAAGCATGGACTCAAGTCAAGGTAACCTGGGTTCTAATCAGACCCAGGCTAGACCCTGGCATTCTGACCCTGGGTACACTGCTTAATCACTGTGAGCCTCACTTTCCTCATCTGTAAAGTGGGGAGGCCAGGCGAAGTGGCTCACACCTGTAATCCTAAGACTTTGGCTCATTCGAGCCCAGGAGTTTGAGACCAGCCTGGGCAACATAGTGAGACCCTGTTTCTACAAAAAACTTAAAAACTAGCCAGCTGTGGTGGCTCATTCCTGTGGTCCTGGCTACAATGAGGTAGGCTGAGGTATGCAGATTGCTTGAGCCCTGGAGGTCAATGCTGCAGTGACCTATGATCATACCACTGCACTCCAGCCTGGGGAAAAAAAGAAAAAACAAAAAGCCAGGCATGGTGGCTCACGCTAGCACATGAGAGGCCAGCACTTTGGGAGGCTGAAGTGGGTGGATCACCTGAGGTCAGAAGTTTGAGACCAGCCTGGCCAACATGGCAAAAACTCATCTCTACTAAAAATACAAAAATTAGCTGGGTGTGGTGGTACACACCTATAATCCCAGCTACCTGGGAAGAGAATCACTTGAACCCGGGAGGCGGAGATTGCAGTGAGCCTAAAGTACACCACTGCACTCCAGCCTGGACAACAGAATGAGACTTTGTCTCAAAAAAAAAAAAAAAAAAAGATAAGAAATCTGACCTCAGAGCATGTAGATCACTGAGGTCAGGAGTTTGAGACCAACCTGACCAACATGGAGAAACATCTCTACTAAAAAATACAAAAATTAGCAGGGCATGGTGGCGCATGCCTGTAATCTCAGCTACTTGGGAGGTTAAGTCTAGAGAATCAATCACTTGAACAAGGGAGGCAGAGGTTGTGGTGAACCAAGATCGAGCCATTGTACTCCAGCCTGAGCAACAAGAGCAAAACTCCATCTCAAAAAAAAAAAAAATCTGACCTCAGAGGACTCTTGTAAGGTATTGATGAGGTTACATACATAAAGTGCCCCTCATCAGACGCATTAGCTTGTCTGTAATTCTAGCACTTTGGGAGGCCAAGGTGGGCAGATCACCTGAGATCAGGAGTTTGAGACCAGCTTGGCCAACATGGCAAAACCCAATCTCTACTAAAAATACAAAAATTAGCCAGGCATGGTAGTTCATGCTTGTAGTCCCAGTTACTAGGGAGGCTGAGACAGGAGAATTGCTTGAACCCAGGAGGCGGAGGTTGCATGAGCCAAGATTGTGACATTGCATTCCAGCCTGGGCGAGAGGGAGACATCATCTCAAAAAAATATAAATAAATAAATAAATAACTGCCCGTCACATGGCCTGGCTCTTACGCTCAAAAATGGTCATTTCTACAGCTCTTGGGCCTGCCTATGCCTCTCACCAGAAAGAAGGTTCTCTCTGCTGACCTGGCTTCCTGGGTTCTGTAGGCACTTCAGGAGGGATCTCTTCAACTCTCTCTGGGGGCGCAGCCTCTAAGAGGTGTCGAATCTTTGGGAAGGGATTACAAACAAAATATAGGATTCAGCTTCAGCCCTCTGCTTTCCCACTTTCACAGTCTTCTTCAACAATGCACAGTAATCTCCTTTTATGCCTAATTCTTGTTGCATTGACATCAGTTTGCAGTAAACTCACCCGCCATCTAGTCATTCCTCAGTTCCTGCTCTCATCTCCCTCCCCAACCTGCACCCCGGTTATCTAGCCCTTATCAATTTGTGCAAGAAGCAGTGCATCCTTATCCTTGTCAAATGTTATGGTTGACAGAGGTGAACAGAAAAGATTCTTGATCTTAAGGTCTAGTGGGGAGACAACGTTGTATGTAACCCCACAAGAGTCAAGGCAAAGGGTAAAACAAGGCCTTAGCAAAGTGCTAAGTTCCCAAACTGCATTTGGTTCTGGCTGGACTGGGATAAATATTTCATAGAGAAGGGTAGCATTTGAGTCAAGAATATGTAGAAACTGACTCAGAGGATGAGGAGTGACCATTATGGTCTAGGGAAACAGCACAAGCAAAGATGTGAATGTGGCATCGAGGAACAAGGACCAAACTGGTGTTTAGGAGCCACAGATGCACCAGGGGAATGAGAGAAGTCTGGGGATGACTAGCTCTAAACTGGGGCATGTGCCAGCTGTGGTGGCCTGTAATCCGAGGTGGACGGATCGCTTGGGGTCAGGAGTTCAAAACCAGCCTGAGCAACATGGTGAAACCCCATCTCTACTCAAAACTACAAAAATTAGCTGGTGTGGTGGTGGGCATCTGTAATCCCAGCTACTCCGGAGGCTGAGGCAGGAAAATTGCTTGAACAGGGGAAACAGAGGTTGCAATGAGCCAAGATCGTGCCACTGCACTCCAGCCTGGGTGACAGAGTGAGACCCTGTCTCAAAAAGTAGTAATAGGCCCAGCAAAGTGACTCATGTCTGTAATCCCAGCACTTTGGAAGGCCAAGGCGGGTGATCACCTGAGGTCAGGAGTTCGAGACTACCTGCCTGTCCAATATGGCAAAACTCCATGTATACCAAAACTACAAAAATTGGGCTGGTCGCGGTGGCTCATGCCTGTAATCTCAGCACTTTGGGAGGACAAGGCAGGTGGATCATGAGGTCAGGAGTTCGAAACCAGCCTGGCCAGCATGGTGAAACCCCATCTCTATTAAAATTCAAAAATTAGCCAGGCATGTGCCTGTAGTCCCAGCTACTCAAGAGGCTGAGGCAGGAGAATTGCTTGAACCTGGGAGGCAGAGGTTGTGGTGAGCAGAGATCATGCCACTGACCTCCAGCCTGGGTGACAGAGCGAGACTCCTGTCTCAAAAAATATAAAAATAATTAGCAGGGTGTGGTGCCACGCACCTGTAATCCCAGCTACTCCGGAGGCTGAGGCAGGAAAATCACTTGGACTGGGGAGGCAGAGGTTGCAGTGAGCTGAGATCATGCCACTGCACTCCAGCCTGGGTCAAAGAGCAAGATCCTGTCTCCAAAATAATAACAAAATAAAAAAATAAACTGGGGCATGGAGAGCCCTAAATGCTAGTATTCTGTTTGCAGCAGGAGCCACTATTCAAATGGGGAAACAAGGAAGGGGGTGACATTAAGCTGTAGGAATACTGGGAATAGATGGAGGAGGACACAGGTAAGGAAGCCCAATGCAGAGAGATGAGAGCCTGGATTAGGGCCGTGACAGTGAGAACAGTGTGGAGACAAGTGGGGACAAAAGCTGCCTCACTTGGGGAAACCATCTGATCAGACTGGCCCTGAGTAAAGTATAGGGGGCTTCGCCCAGATGGGTCCACCATGGCAGTCCCCCTGCACCATCTCCTGTGGGAGAGAGCTGTGGCAAGCTTCCTTCCCCAACCCCAATATCAGAGTGACACAGGGACAGCACTCCCCTTCTGCATTGTCAATTTGTGATTCTGGGGGAATTAGCCCTACCTGAGGGATATCGAAAGGACTAGGAAGTCTGGGATCCACAGACATCATCCCAAAAAAGGGATCTGGAGCATCTTCCAGGGTCTCCATCATGGCCAGGTGGTTAGGAAGCAGCAAGCTGGGTCTGGGAGAGAATGTAGGCTGTCAAGGACTGAGACTGAGCTAGGTGAGGCCAAGCTAGCAGGTGTTCCATCAAAGGCCCAGGGGACACTCACAGCTCAGTCTCCATATCTATTCGGACCTGCAGCTGGGCACGGTGGATGCGCTCCAAGATGTGCTGGATGTCCTCTGTGGGCAGAGAGGGCAAGGTAAGGAGCCAGCTTAGCAGACAGCTCCTCAGTCGGCCCCACCTGAGGGTTCCCAGCCTTACCCACGAGGTACTGGCATTGTTGAGAATAGACACGGATCACACCGATCTGAAGTTGGGCTGAGAGATAGAGGGAGAAGCGGGGCCGCGGCAGGCCGGGCTGCAGGGGTTGCACTCGTACCAGCACATAATTGAGGATTTCCTCGCTGGGGAACAACGCGCCCAGATCACTGCTGTGCCCATGACTGAGCCCACAGCCTTGCCCACTCTATCCCCTAACCCACACCCTGCACCAGGTCCTCCTTCCCTTTTCTGGGCCTTACCAGGTCTTCACCACATTCACCCTCAAGTATTCGCGCTTCACCAACCGGCTGCCGCGCGTCGCTGCCAGCCTGAAGTGGGTGGGGAAGGTGGGAGAATGGGAATGGAGGGGACGCTGTCAGGCTGGGATCCCGGGCAGTGCCCCCTATCACACGCCCATGGGCCTTGCCCTTACCAGATGGTGGCAAAGCAGCCGGTGTGGCGCTGAAGCACATTGGGATAGTAGAACATGGTCCCTCCAGCCTTTTACCCTCGATTCCACCAGATCCCTGTTCGGATCTGAGTTGGAATTCTTTAGGGCACAGAATTCCCAACACTTTGAAGAGAAGTCAGGTTTGGACAGGTGAGGAGGTGGGTGTACCCAGAAAGCCAAGTTAATGAGGCAATTAACAATTGGTGGATACACGATTACCGGGATAACTAAGAGACGCAGGAGATGGGCACACCTCTCTGGATCTACCCTCAGTGGATCCGCACGCCAAGTGGGCGCGTCGAACTTGAGCCTTCTGGGCTGGGTTCCAGGTTGGAGATGCGAAGCTCCGAGGATCCAGAGCAGGTCCCAAGGGAGCACAGTGTCCTCCACAGCAGGCCTTGGTTCTCAAGCACTAGAAGTGATGTCAGGCCCTTGGGCCTTGCACTGGTTTGAGCGGCTGCGGTACAGCCTGGGCTGCCTCCCACAGGACTAGATGGCAAGGCAGAAAGCCTGCGTTCCGGAGCCCCGCACTTCGCTGCTTATTAGATGGCGGCTTTTGCCAGGCCAATGGGGAACAGGGGTCGGGTTGAGAGCGCCAAGTATCCTGAGCTCCAGGCAACGGGGTCTCTTGAGACAGGCGGCAAACCAATCATAAGGACTCTGCGCGTTGCTGGGGTTCATTGTGAGGTGTCCCGACCAATGGGGCTCTGGTTCTCGCCTCTGGTGACAGGCGTTCCTTCTTGGCCAATGAGCGCATCCACGCGACTTGCCTGGCAACAAGGGTGCCTCAACTGGTGGGGGAGGTAGGGTCACCTCAGGGGCAAACGTGCTAGGCCTCTTCCGGGTGCCAAGATGTACCTTGCACCACGTCTGACCTGTTTGACCCCGCCCTTCCCCCAAATTCCACAAACTCTGACTTTGTTGCCAACTAAGGCGTGTTGTGTGCTGCGGAGGTAGAAAGATGTGAGATGATGGCCTTGGAGCGGCCACAGGTCAATAAGGAAGAAGTCATTTTTTTTTTCTTTAAGACAGAGTCGTGTCTGCTGTCCAGGCTGGAGTGCAGTGGCACTATCTCAGCGATCTCGGCTCACTGCAACCTCCTCCCTTCATCCCAGCCAGATTCAAGCGATTCTAGTGTCTCGGCCTCCTGAGTAGCGGGGATTACAGGTGCCTGCCACCACACCCAGCTAACTTTTGGATTTTTAGAAGAGATGGGGTTTCACCATGTTTGCCAGGCTGGTTTCTTTGCTTTTTGAGATGGAGTTTCAATCTGTCACACAGGCTAGAGCACAGTCTCAGCTCACTGCAACCTCTGCCTCCTGGGTGCAAGAGATTCTCCTGCCTCAGCCTCCCGAGGAGCTGGGATTACAGGGGCCCGATAGCACACTATTTTTTGTATTTTTTAGTAGACAGGGGTTTCACCATGTTGGCCAAACCGGTCTCAAACTCCTGGCCTCCCAAAGTGTTGGGATTACAGGCATGAGCCACTGTGCCTGGCCAAAGAAGTCAATCTTACATGAAACTCCAAGAGGACTTACTGGGATCACTTCCTCAACCTGAACAACTTAGGTTATGAGCATGCCACATGTGGTCCTTTCTCAGCTGTCAGTGTCCTCCCAGCTGAAACAGACTTTAGCTTTGTTGGAATCAGCACATACTTTTCAGCCTGGAAAAGCCATATTCTCAAACAATTATTTGTGTAAATTTAAGTTGTATGGTTGTAATAACAAATAACCCTTGTCCCTATGCCTCCTACATTTGCATAGCCATTTCTTTGGCCTAGAATGCCCTTTCTCTGCCTTGACTCTAGGGCATGCTTCTTCCTAAGACTTACCTTACTGTAGCTGAGCTGCCCTATCTTCTTAGTCTCCTTCAATTTGGGAGCTCTTGAGGTTGGGGTCTTCTCAGTGAGTGCCTTGCATCTAACTCAGTAAATATTTGCCAAATGAATGTGCAGTTGCACTATATTTACAACCAAAATGTGAAAGCTGAAAGGGATTTAGAGATCTAGTCCAGTCCTGGCTTTACCAATGAGGAAACAGAAGTCCATATAGACTGTTTCTCCCAGACCACACAGCTCCTTTGTCCAAGCCTGCTTGGGAACTCTGTACTCTTGAATTCCAGTATTCCCAATCCCTATCCTATTTTGCTCAGCTAAATTGGTTTTGCATGATGCTTACAAACTGTTTCAATTACTATACATAAGTTATCAATTTTATTTATTTATTTTTTAATAGACAAGATCTCGCTCTGTCACCCAGGCTGGAGTACAGTGATGTGATCATAGCTCATTGCAGCCTCAAACTCCTGGGCACAAGCAATCCTTCTGCCTTGGCCTTCCAAAAGTTGTCAGTATTTATAAATGCTCCCTTTGGGGCTCAAAGACAATAAAGTAGGGCATCTGCCCTGACAGTCCCTGGAACCCAGTTTAGGAGAAAAGCTGTCACAGATTGGAACATAGAATAATTTGTTCATTAATTCATCCATTCGTTCAACAAGTATTTATTGCATGTCTGTTATATGCCAAGCACTCCCTAGGGAACTGAGGATACAGGAAGGAACAGAAGTTCCTATTCTCATGAGGTAGAGAAGGAGAGATGATAAATAAGCAGATAAATAGAAATGTGTGGCCAGGCGTGGTGGCTCACACCTGCAATCCCAGCACTTTGGGAGGCCCAGGTGGCTGGATCACTTAAGCCCAGGAGTTTGAGACCAGCCTGGGTAACACTGGCAAAACCCTGTCTCTACAAAAATACAAAAATTAGCTGGGTGTGGTGGTACATGCCTGTAGTCACAGCTACTCAGAAGGGTGAGATAGGAGGATCGATTGAGCTAGAAATTCAAGGATGCAGTGAGCCATGATTGCACCACTGTGCTCCAGTGTGGGCAACTCTGTCTTAAAAAAAAAAAAAGAAAAAGAAATACATGAAGTGGCCATCAGTGCTATGAAGAAAATGAGGTAGCACAGGAGGATAGAGTAATGACAGCTGCTTTTTAGGGAGGGTACTCAGGGAAGTCTTACCCGCTCCTAAGAGATGAAATTTGAAGAAAGTGGGTAACTCATGTACCTACCTGAAGGAAGAGTAATTTAGACAAAAGAACCAGCAAATGCAAAGACCCTGAGGTAGAAATGTGTTTAGTGGGTTCAAAGAGCCTGGAGCAAAGTGACAGGGGAAGAATGGCAAGGGGTGAGAGAGAGGAGGGGGAGGGTCACATCACAGGACCTCAGAGGTTGTTATGGGGATTTGGGCTTTTACTCTGGGTGATTTGGGATCCAGTGGAAGGTTCTGAGCAGAGGAGTGACATGATCAGAATTATGTGTGAAAAGGATCTTTACTGTGTTGAGAATAGCTTAAGGTAGACACAAGTGGAAACCAATGTGAAGGAAGCAGAGGAGGAGATATGAGAGATGGTGGTGGTTTGTTCCAAGTGTTGTTGATGGAAACAGAGAGATGTGGTCAGACCCTGGATACATATTGAAGGAATAGCGATGGGATTTTTGATGAATTGGATGTGGGGTATGATAGAAAGTAGAAGTCAAGGAGGCCAGGTATGGCAGCTCACTCCTGTGATCCCAGCACTTTGGGAGGTCAACCAGCTGGGACTATGGGCACACATCACCATATCTGGCTTTTTTTTTTTTTTTTTGAGATGGAGTTTTGCTCTTGTTGCCCAGGCTGGAATGCAATGGCACAATCTTGGCTCACCGCAACCCCTGCCTCCTGAGTTCAAGCAATTCTCTTGCCTCAGCCTCCCGAGCAGCTGGGATTACAGGCATGCGCCACCATACCCAGCTAATTTTTTTTTGTATTTTTAGTAGAGTCGGGGTTTCACCATGTTGGTCAGGCTGGTCTCAGACTGCTGACCTCAAGTGATCCACCCACCTCGGCTTTCCAAAGTGCTAGGATTACAGGTGTGAGTCACTGTGCCTGGCCTCATCTGGCTAATTTTTAAGAATTTTGGGAGGCCAGGCACAGTGACTCATGCCTATAATCCCAGCACTTTGGGAGGCCGAGGTGGGAGGATTACCTGAGATCAGGAGTTTGAGACCAGCCTGGCCAACATGGTGAAACCCTGTCTCTACTAAAAATGCAAAAATTAGCTGGGCATGGTGGTATGCGCCTGTAATCCCAGCTACTTGGGAGGCTGAGGGAGATGGATCACTGGAACCCGGAAGGTAGAGGTTGCAGCAGTGAACCAAGATTGTACAACCACAACTGTACTCCAGCCTGAGTGACAGACTCTGTCTCAAAAAAAAAAAAAAAAAAAAATTTTTTTTTTTGTAGAGATAGAGTCTCACTATGTCACCCAGGCTAGTCTCAAACTAGCCAATAGGCTAGTCCTCACACTTTGATCTTCCAACGTGCTGGGATTACAGGCATAAACCACTGTGCCCAGCCAAAAAAAAAAAAATTTTTTTTTTTTTTGAGATGGAGTTTTACTCTTGTCACCCAGGCTGGAGTGCAGTGGTGCAATCTCAGCTTACTGCAACCTCTGCCTCCCAGGTTCAAGCAATTTTCCTGCCTCAGGCTCCTGAGTAGCTGGAATTACAGGTATCTGCCACCACGCCTGGCTAATTTTTTGTATTTTTAGTAGAGACAGGGTTTTACCATGTTGGCCAGGCTAGTCTTGAACTCCTGACCTCAAGTGATCCACCTGCCTCAGCCTCCCAAAGTTCTGGGATTACAGGCATGAGCCACTATACCCAGCCAATTTTTTTTTTAAATTAAAAGAATTAAAAGAAAAATAAAGGTAGTCAAGGAGGTAATTTAGACCTTGTACAAAGGTCTAGGAGGAATTTCATCAAATTGAGAGCACAAGGTTGCACGCCTCTACACTCAGTACCTGATTTCTTCACTGCTAGTGCAGAGCCTGTATAGGTGCTTGGCTTCCCAGGATGATGGACAAGACTGAAGAGAAGAAGGGAGGTCCATGGAAGAAGGGAGGCTCAAAGGCAGTACTGAAGCTTGTCAAAAGAGGCAGGAGGAGGGTCATAGGAGGACTTAGGCATCCAGATTTGATTGTGTGTGAGCCATTGAGGGCTGATGAGTGAAATCACAGGAGGAAGTCTAGAAAGCTAAGCTGGTGTTGGATGCAGGAAGACAGAGGCTGAAGGCTGTGGCCTGGGTTGGAACTAGTTTGCTGGAAGTTAATATACAAAAAAGTAGGTGACAAGTGGCCTTGTGAAGGAAAAACTTCCAGTTTGGTAGTAAAATGAACACAGAGGAAAGGGAAGGGAGTGTAAGTCGATTTGGAGCCCTCAAGTCTCATGAAAAGCATGTTGGACATGGCAGTCTAGGCTGGAGTATCTTTTATGGGACTTAGAGCAAGGAATCCAGTTTGGGAGTACCCTGCTGGGGTGACAGCACAATTTGTGCTGGGGGAAGGGGTGCCAGGAACAGCAGGTACAGGTTTAGCAACTCTTCTGACTCCTCTATTCTCAGGCCCCAGGGCCTCTAGAACAGTTTTGGGTCACCCTCAAGTGTCTCCTCTTCAGACTTCTAGTCTAACCCCAGGCCCGATGTTGGTGCTCTTAGCAAGAACTGTGGAGCCCAGACTACCATGAGAAGTTGGTGGCTATAGTGCCTGGCTGAAGGCTCGGTGCCCTTTCAATGGCCAATCCCAACCCTCTCCCTAATCATGGCTGCCTAGAGAGTACCTCTGCAGAGTGCCAGGCCCAGGACCCACAGGGCCCAGACAGCATCTTAGCCAGAACCTGTGGGCAGAGGAGAGGAAAGAGCTTTGAAGATGTCAGAAGGAAGAAAACCCCAGTGTCCTGCTCATAAGTTTACATCTCTGTCTCCCAGAAAAATCAGATACTGATTCCTCTTTCAATAAAATTTTATTTTAAATCCTTAGTGAATAACTAAGAGGAAAATATAAAGTGCTTGGCTTTAGAGTTGGGAGGTCAGGAAAGAGGGAAAGATCCCTGGGTTCACACCGTTTGAATTTCTCAGTCCCTTACACATGAAAGAAGGTGTGTATCTCAAAATCCAAAAAATAAAAAATTTAAAAAAAGAAAGGACAAAATATTAGCCTTGAGTTCTCCACCAGCCAGTGTGTGCGAGGATTTTAAGGACACAACTATCACAGACAACCACTGAGAATTATCACGAGGAGGACAGGTCAATCATGTGAAGAATGAGTCTATTTCAAAGGAGACAGGCAGAACAAAGAAGTGAGGTGGAAGATGGGCTCCCCAGGCTCTACACCAGGGACAGAATGGCTGCCTGCTGCTCTGGAGTCTCCTCCAGTAAGTGTCGGGCAAAAGCCTGCTCCATCTGTATTGGAAGAGATGGAGAAGAGCGTCTCAGTGAGTGCATCAGGGACAGACACCACCCCCAGGAGCTCCTTCCCCACTGGGAGACCCCCTTCACCTCCTGGACCACCACTGCCCCTACTCTCATTAGATAGGCTACTCTGCCCCTGCTCTGAGCTCACCTTCACTGTGATAAGATTCTGTGGAGTATGGCTGGGGCCACAGCTCTCCTCCCAGAAATTCAGTGTTACCTGGAACTTGGGTGGGGGGCCCAGGCCCTGGAAGTACCTGGCCAAGTCTGAAAGAGAAAGGGTCAAGGGTTGGAAGGAGAAAAACAAGAGAGAGGGCCACAGGTTGGGAGGCAATAGTGAGGAACCCATGATGGAGATAGTTAGGAGGGGGGGTCCACATGGAGCCCCAGGCCAGAGCAGGAGCTGCAAGGTCAGGAGAAGTGCTCGGAACTAAATGCTACTCACCCATGTGCAAACGGGAAAGGGTGCCCCTGCCTCAAATAAGTGTTAGAAGTAGCAGATCACTGCACAACCTGAAAAGCTCTCTCTGCTGAGAGAGTTTAAGAGTCCTCCCAGGCCGCAGCCCTGGCTGCTAACACAGATGTGCCCAGACTTTTGCTGCTTGCTCATACCCTCTCAGTGCTAGGGTACCCATGGCCCTGGGAACACCCACACTCTATACCCCCTGTACTCCTGGCCCCACTCTTAAGTCAGATTTAGAATTGAGTAGGAACTGGAACTGGATAGGAGAGGGGGGCAACCCTAGGGCATTCCTGGAGTATAGTAGAGATGATGCAGCCAGAGCCAGAGGTATGATGTGTGCCAGCTCTCCCAAATGTGTGTACATAGGACAAGGCCATGAGGCTCACTCTGTGCCAATTCTTCTGTGCACCTTCACATAATGACTGCACGCTTCAGTGTGATGGTGTTCCCCAAGATGTGACACTCTTGTGCTGAGCTCTACCTGAACCTCCTCTTCCACTGTCTTGGCTGGAGAAGAGCTGCCATATAGCTGCCAGGCTGGGCATATGGCCAAACACGATGTGCACCACACAAGTGCAGGAGTGCCATGCATAGGCTACATGGAAGATCTGCTGGCAAACAGGGTGGTGGCAGGACCCACCAAGTTGGGCCCGGGGGGTACTAAGATAGGAGCTCAGGTGCCCAGTGAGAGCATCCTCACCTCTGCAGAAGTAGGCAGTTCTGAAGAGCTCCACACACTCGTTGCTGGGCAGCAGATGTGGGCCTGGCCCAGGTGGAGCCTGGGGTGCATTCCAGGAGATGGGGATGGGGCAAAGGCGCTGCACGAAGAGGCCTCGGGGGTTGCTGGCCACCAGGATGCCCCTCTCAAGCTGACTCAGTAGGCGCTGCGTGGGCTCCAGTGGGCCAGGCTTGGGGAATAACACCTGCTCCATGCTGCTCTCAGAGCCTGAGGGCTCAGCCACGAGGCGGCAGTCCAGGCTTTGCACCTGGGCCTCGCCCACCACGCGCCCGTTGTAGATGAAGGTGAGCAGCAGTGAGTAGTCTGGGGATAGAACAGTCTAGCTGTACCTGGTGCTGGAGGAGCATGCAGGCTGGTGGTAGCCCCTCCCCAGGGGAACATCTCCACTCCCCTCCCCTCACTGGCCAGGGGGCTTCCCCTCAGGTTTTCCCATCACTCAGGCAAGTAGCTAGTACTACTGAGTGATTCACCATGAGGCCTCAGGGCTTAATGCCCAGGGTCCTGTCATTTACAAGAAGGTCCCTTGAGACTGGGGCTCTGTTTGGCCCAAAGAAATTAGTGTCTCAGTGTGGATTTCCAGGAGAGTGTATAGGGTGGTATTTTTGGGAAGCAAGCTTTTTAGAGTCTGGCCAGGTATGTGGAATCTCACCACCTAGAAACAAGTGCCTTGGGCTATGATAAGATGGTCACAGTTTCCTGTAAGCCCTGACTGACTAGATAATGCATGTACGATCAAAGGAGGAAGGCCTCAGGAACACAGGAGAAAGTTAGAAATGTCACGTACCTGGCTCTGGAGGAAGTAGAAACTCCAGGGACACCTGATCCCCTTGTAAGGGGGCCTCAGTTGTATCTGTACCTGGAAGGGAAGCAAAGGCACTGGTCATTCAGAGTGGGGCTGGGGAGTCTTGGGCCAGAGTGTGTGACATGGTGGATGACACAAGAGGCAAGCAGGTGGTACCTTCCTGTGGTTCAGGGCTGCTGCTGCTGCTGCTGCTTCCGATGTCTGAATGGACTGCTCCCCCACTGGCTCCCTCCTCTTCCTGCAGACACAGTGTTTTTTCGCTTTTTTTTTTGAGACGGAGTCTCACTCTGTCACCCAGGCTGCAGTGCAATAGCGCAATCTCGGCTCATGGCAACCTCCACATCCCAGGTTCAAGCTATTCTCCTGCCTCAGTCTCCCGAGTAGCTGTGATTACAGGCAGCTGTCACTATGACCAGCTAATTTTTGGATTTTTAGTAGAGACAAGGTTTCACCATGTTGGTCAAGGCTGGTTTTGAACTCCTGACCTCAGACGATGTGCCCACCTTGGCCTCTGAAGATGCTTTCATTGGCCCACCTCTCCCTCTAGTTACTGTCCTGCTCTCAGGCCTGCCCAATTCCCTCTCCATCGCTCACATTATTGAGGGAGTCCTGGAGCACAGAGGGACTGAGTGTACAGTTCTGCATGGCACCCTCTTCCTCCTTCCTCTCAGAAGACACAGAACTGTGCTGTTGCTTTGATGGTGATTTCTGAGTCCCTCCTATAGAATTGTTGAGGGAGAGAGAAAGGTCAGAGTCTTGAGCAGGGACAGAGGGTAAAGGAGAGGTCTGAGGCAGTGAAGGATGGGCAGGGCTAGGAAGGGAAATCTGGGTAGCAGCCTCCCCAGGGCATGAAGAGGGCAGAGCTGTGAGAAGCCTGGTAGAGGCCCACAGGTCTACCCTTCCTCCCCAGTCTGCTGAGTCTAGGAGTGGTTGGGCAAGGGGACACTCACCAGAGAGGGTTCCTGGTGGCAGCAGGCGATACACCTTGTAGGGCTCAGCAACATCCATGCGGCCCCTCTCAGGAACTTCCTCAAATTCAGGACTCTTGTTGAGTGCACAGCGTAGGCGAGTCTTCCAGGCAGCGGGGCCTCCTGTGTCCCCCTCCTTATACTTTCCCTTAAATATTGCCCAGGCCTAGGAAAGAAAGCAAGGGAAGAGAGGCAATGTGTTACAGGCTCCAGCTGCCCCTCTAACAGGACTGGCTTCACAGGCATGCAGCTCTGAGCTCAGATGGCATTATGAAGGGTTTATGCTCTGTGTTGCTATCTTGAAATCCCTAGTAATTTTTGAACAAGGCCTCCGCATTTTCATTTTGTACTGGACTCTGCAAATGATGCAGCTTGTTTTCCTCTCCAATCTGTCCCTTATCTGAAACCCAGGCAGCCGCAAGTACAGAGGGTGAGTATACACAATCCCTCACACAGAGAAACAGTGGTTTCCAGGTCCTTTCACCTTGAAGAAGGCAGCATCCTGGTCCTCCCGGAAGTCCTGCTTGCCTGCATGCTTCCAGGGAATCCGGAACATGGTCTTAGCTGCATCATCCCAGCACACTCCGGGGAACTGCCCGCTCTCCACTTGCTCCACCACCCAGTTCCGGAGTTTTCGGGTACAGCGTGCCCTGCCTGATGCCATCCTGGGGGATAAGAAGAGCAGGAAACATTAAAACTGACACTTTGGGAGGGAACATCTCCTGAAACCCTGGCCATTGGAACTAGATTCTAGCAACAGGCCCTAGAGATCCCATCCATCTTCTTTTAGCTCTAGACATATTTCAAAACTCTGTAAGACAGAATTGTTTCCTTTCTGCCATCACTAGCAATGATGAAAAAAAAAAAAAAAAAAAACTACCCCAAAAACATTAACATTCTAAACTGTGCTACCTGGAAGGAAACCATAGGCATTGGTCTTAATTTTAGGACTTTTCAGAAATGTATTGATTAGGAAAGAATTCCTTTGGTGATCTGTTCCTGGTCAGAGCCCCTGTCTAGATTCCCGAGTGTCTGCAGAGGCAGGCTCTGCTAAGATGCATCAGGCTCTTCACCCACGGCCCCACAGCCTATATAACCTAGCCTCTGACCCCCACCCCCATGCTGGCCGCAAGGGTAGGTGGGGCAGGAAGTTGGGGTGGGGGTGGAGCTGCAGCTGAAGTGGGCAGGGACAGACAGCAAGGAAACAAAGAGTCAACTGAGGCTGGGGCAGTAAGCCTTCGTCCCTGAACCATCTGGCATCAGGTCCTCCTGATCTTTGCCTACAGGGATCTGGGGTGCTGGCCCTCGTCAGTTGCACTCTCAGGCTGAATCTCCCACTTCCTGACTTACAGGTCTTCTGTCTAGCCCTTGGTCTAAAAAAAGGGTCCCTAAGACCCCCTACCCCCAATCTGGCTGGACTTTCTAGCCCTAGAGCTTGGACTGACCCCCATCCTTACCTGATCTTACCTGACTTGCTGTCCAGGCTGTCTCAGGGCTCAGACAACCTCAGCTTAACTCCTGGCTAGGCGGCTGATCTCTCCGCCCCTTTCTACAGTCCCCACCCTAAGTTTCATTTCTCCTCCAGGAACGGCTTTTTCCCAGAAATCACGTGGCCTCGAGTTGCAGGGCACCGGTGGCCACCAGAGGGCAGCAGCATCTGAACATCTCACTGTCAGGATGCCACTGTCACAGCAGGGGGGCCCTGCTCTGCCAGTTCAGCTCAACCCTGGCTCATTCCCCTTCCTCCCTCAGATAGTCTTGCTTGTATCTAACCTTCTCTGAGTGACACTGTGGCTTCCCCAGGGAGGCCAGTTTCCTAGAGTCAGGTCTGGGACCTCTGGATTGCTGTGTAGACCTCTGCATCTGTGATCCCCCACAATGCCTGCTTGGTACACACTGGGTGACTTCTAATACCAGTCAAATTCAGTGAAAGGAGAAAAGGAGGCAGGGAGGAGGAAGCCCAGGCCAGGTGGTTGGATGGGGAGGGCCTCTCTTGACTATCCAGGGTGTCAACTCCTTCCTGGTCCTGAGTCCAGGGAGGGTTAGGCACTAGGTTGCAGGGGGCCCTTTTCAGCAAAGCTCTGTTCATCCTGCTCTTTCCCTGGTGCCTCTAGATGGTGGCATCAGGAAGAAGGACTGCCAAAAAGCCTGGGTGGTAAGATGCCTCTTTATTGGTGCTGGAGCTGTTCCTGAGGGAGCAGGCCATGGGACCCTCATGGGACCCTTGCTCTCAGCTACTTCCTCCGGCGGGGGATACTCTGTCCCAAGGGCACCTCTTCTGTCAGCTTCTGCAGAAGGAGAGAGAAGGTAATGATACTGGAAGCCTGGGGCTCAGACACAGGCTGGGCCAGGTGACTTCTGTAGGGTGGGTCAGAGGTGAGGCTGTACCTGTAACAAGCGGGCCTGGTAGGCAGGGGGATCCTCTCCAGCCAAAGGCTGGGGGCGTACATGTAGGTAGCGCTCAGTGGCCGTCTCCAGCTCTTCCATCTCATACAGGGTGGCTGGGTCCAGTGAGTGGGCATTGATGAGGCTCACAAGATACTCTTTGTAGTGTGCCCTGGGGAGAAAAGGGAGCAGAATATTTGTTCTGTTGGCTAATAATAACTGAGTATGTCTAACATGCAGCCGGGCTCTGAGACACTTGGATGAACAAGACTGACAACCCCTGCCCGTGCCCACATGGCCTGCTACTATCTATCCATGCCCTTGGCCAGAAAGCCACCTCCCTCCCAACCATTGCAGGACCTACTGCTCCCAGGGACCCACTTTACTGCCTGGGCATGCCCACACCACTTCTACCCGCTGCCCAACACCATGCCCGTGTCCTGCTGGCACTCACTGGCACAGGCCGGCATAGCCAGCTGGAGTTTCCTTGCCACAAGCTTCGTCCCTGAGCCCATTGGGAACCTCTTTCTGCTCCATCACTCGGCAGCCACCTAAAAAGGTGAGGGAAGAAGGGAGCCTCTGTTGAGAGGTCAGTGACTACAAAGCTCCAGAACTGGGATATCCACAAAGCAGGGAAGGCAGCCTCCAAGGAGGAGACTGAGTACAGCAACTCCTACTTTTCCCAGTGGTGCTGGTGGGTACTTAGAGGTGCCGTCAGTGGGAGACCATCTGATAGAGAGGGGACCATCTGATACAGAGGCAGGGAACTTGTCCCTACTTTTATCCAAGCTGGCTTTTGGCTCATAAACACACCCTCTTGAGACAGTTTTTTTTTTTTTTTTTTTTGTGGGGGTTGTTATTTATCTCTTGCCTAGTTAACTTATTCTGTGAAGGTCTTACCTTTAAAAAAATATATATATAGAGAGAGACAGGGTCTCACTATGTTGTTCAGGCTGGTCTCAAATTCCTGGGCTCAAGTAATTCTCTTGCCTCAGCCTCCCAAAGTGCTGGGATTACAGGTGTGAGCTGGCTACTTCTGTGTGTGTGTTTTTTTTTTTTGAGATGGAATTTTGCTCTTGTTGCCCAGGCTGGAGTGCAATGGTGCAATCTCAGCTCACTGCAACCTCCCGGGTTCAAGTGATTCTCCTGCCTCAGTCTCTCAAGTAGCTGAGATTACAGGTGCCCAGCACCACACCCAGCTAATATTTTTGTATTTTTAGTAGAGATGGGGTTTCACCTTGTTGGCCAGGCTAGTCTTCAACTCCTGACCTCTGATGATCTACCCATCTCAGCCTCCCAAAGTGCTAGGATGACAGGTGTGAGCCACCAAGTCCGACTACCTCTATTTCTTAAAAAATAAATTTAAAGCCTTTGTACAAATAGGGGAGCCAAAAATAAATAAATAAAAATAAATTAATTTAAAGCCTACAGCATCTGGTATTCCCAGGCAATCTCTCACCCAAGTACAAACCAGGCCCAACCTTGCTTAGCCTCCAAGATCAGTCACATTCAGGATGGTATGGACTGTAGACTTACCTCTGTCTACGCTGTAAGAAGTGAAAGAGGTTAGAACCGTATGTAACACCTTTCTGTTGCCCTCATGGAACCTAAAACAGTGCCCTGCAACTAGCAGGTCTCACTAAACACTCGTTGAGTTAATTAATGAATTATGATCATTTGGGAATGGGAGAAGAAAATTAGTATTAATACCTTCCTGGGTACCAGGTCCTTTAAAGATGTCTTATGTAAAATGGCTTAGCTGCAAGGTGGGTATTACCCCCATTTTACAGAGGAAGAAACAAGGCCAGAGGTCTCAATGAACTTGCCAAAGGGCATGCAACAAGTGACGCTACTCCCAAGCCTCCCCTTTACCCATCGCAGAGTGGGAGGCCCAGCACATCATTTCCCCTCTCAAAGGCTTGTCCTAACACTTACCTCCAGGGACTGCCCGGGCCCCAGCTGGAGGCTCTGTATTAAACATGACGTTATTGTCCTGAGGAGAGACAGATGGGTGTTACGTTCCCCTTGATGCCAATCCCTGTTGCACTTCCTAGCATGAAGCCTTTTCCATTCTTGCCCACCCTGGGCCCTGCCTTCTCTCCTGGCCACGTCTGACCTGTAGCAGCTTTTGGAGCCGAAGAGCAGTCCAGTCCCGCAGGTAGAAGAGGCAGTCTCGAGGGTGGTGGCCGTGCAGGGACTTTTTCACCCTGCAGTTAGGCTCTGGACATTTCTGATAGAAACCCAGATGGGAGAGAGGAAGTTGGAGACTGTTGGGGTCCTGGCCTCTCAGGAACCCCTGCATGAAGGATGTAAGGGTGAAGGGAGACGGAGACATTGGAGGGTCTAGAGCAAGCAAAGGGTAAGGGGATAGAGAGTTGTGCTTTACATCCCACTGACCACCTCTTCTCTTCCCTGGGGCCATTCTTCAATGGCCTCTGCCTCTCAAACCCAATGGGAGCCCCCCATCCTTCCATCCCTCCTCCCACTCTCTGGGCTCACATTCTTGGCATAAAAGGCATTGTAGCAGCCGCTGCAGAACTGGTGGCGGCACTGGGTGCAGTGAAAGTGCATGCAGCCTCCCCGGGCCAGGGCATACGAGAACTTGCATTTGGGGCAGTCTGCAAAGGACAAGAGGTCAGGGCTGGGGCTGCCATTGCAACTTAAGGCCCTCAAGAACAGAGCTACTGACAATAACAGGCTTCTGAGCCAACAAGCCAAGTGGGACAGCCTTACCAATGCCATTTTCCTGAAGATACATTGCTAGGCCCTGGGCCTGGTATTCTGGGTCGTTCATGCGTTTCCAATTCTGGAAATCCTCACAGCTCCGACCTCGGTGCTGTTCCTCCCACTGCCAGAGGGAAAGGAGGTTTCACATGGGAGCTCTATCCCATACCCTGGCCCTTCTTGCTGGCCCATCCACTGATGTCTAGTGGTCCCCAGCTTGGTTTATGTCACTGCCACCTACCATTTGCTCAAATCTCAAAATGAGGGGCCATCCTTGGTTCTTTCATTTTCTCATACCACCTTACATTCATTTTGCCTTGTTTCTTTTTTTTTTTGAGACGGAGTTTCGCTGTTTTTACCCAGACTGGAGTGCAATGGCACGATCTCGGCTCACCGCAACCTCCACCTCCTGGGTTCAAGCAATTCTCCTGCCTCAGCCTCCCGAGTAGCTGGGACTACAGGCGCGCACCACCATGCCCAGCTAATTTTTGTATTTTTAGTAGAGACGGGGTTTCACCTTGTTGACCAGGATGGTCTCGATCTCTTGACCTCGTGATCCACCCACCTCGGCCTCCCAAAGTGCTGGGATTATAGACGTGAGCCACCATGCCCGGCCCACATTTTGCCTTGTTTCTACCCCACAAGCCCATCTCAATCCTGCCTCCTTTTCCCTCAACCCTATTGCTACGACTTTACTGCAGGCCACCAACAGATCTTGCCTCAATTGCTTGCCCCGGATACTACTATCTCTGTTTCCCATTCCTGCTCCTCTATGGTTAATTTTCCCCATGGCTGCCAAAATGCCTTCAAAACTGTAAGCAAGGTAGCTTCCACAGTATTAGTGGTCTAGTTTTGTGGTTTGGTGGTAGTCTTAGGTGTTCACTTTGTTTCATACATGATGCAGATAAAATTTTTTTGGTATCAAACATCACACTTTTTTTTTTTGAGATGGATTCTCACTCTGTCACCAGTGCAGTGGTGTGATCTCAGCTCATGAAGCCTCCACCTCCTGGGTTCAAGTAATTCTCTCGCCTCAGCCTGCAGAGTAGCTGGGAATACAGGCACATGCCACCATGCCCAGCTAATTTTTGTATTTTTAGTAGATACAGGGTTTCGTGATATTGGGCAGGCTGGTCTTGAACTCCTGACCTCAAGTGATCCACCCACCATGGCCTCCCAAAGTGCTGGGATTAGAAGCAGGAGCCATTGTGCCAGCCAGGACTTGGAGGCTGCAGTGAGCTGTGACTCCACCAGTGCACCCTAGCCTGGGTGACAGTGAGACCTTGTCTCTAAAAATAAATAAATAAATAAATAAATAAATGAAAGATGATTGAGATAGTATCACCCCTTGTTTTATTTCAGAATGAAGGCACCTGCCTCACTTGGCCTCCAGGGCTCTCCAGACCTGGCAGCTGGCTTCTCTCTGACTACCTGCCACTCCCACCTTGCTTTCCAGGCTCCAGCCATACAACACCTTTTTCTGACTCTGGCCTTTCCATGTGTTGTTCCTTCTATTCCAAATACTCTTTGCATGGCTGGCTTCTTTTTAACTTTTAGGCCTGAGTTTAAACCATTTTAGAGAAGACTTGTGTGACCTTTCTACCCTAAGTATGTCCACTCTGCTACTCTGATCTCAGGTTCCTGTCTGTTTTCTTCATAGAACTTATGTCTATACATAATTAGTTCCTCTCTGGCTGACTTTCTTTCCTTCCTTCCTTTTCCCCTTTCCTTTCCCTCCCTCCCTCTGCTTTCTTCCCTTTCTCCTTATGCCTGTCTTTCTGACAGAGCTTAGTCTGTAAGCTCTTTTGAGCTCAGAGCTCATGTCTACTTTGCTCTCCAGTACACAAACTCCCCTGAGTCTAACACAGTACCTGGCAGTAGCTCAGCAAGTATTTCTGAAAGGATGAATGTGCCTCACCTGGCGCTTGCAGCGCACACAGAAGGTCTGGTGACACTGGGGACACGTGGCCTCTAGCTGCTCTCGCTCATATATAAAGCCAAAGGAGCACTGTATGTGCAAGAGCATAAAGTTATCAAAGGCCTGACCTGGAACCATTTCCAGCCCCTTCATAGTAGCTCCCCTGGGCAGGCCACTTACCTGGGCACACCACAAGAACTTGGGGTCCCGCATCAGCACACCCTCGGTCAGCTTCTTATGGAACAATGCATAGGCATCTGGCTCTAGGCTCTCTCGAAGCTGGGGACAGGATGCAGAGGTGGTGGGTGGGAGAGTTCCTGTTCAAAGTTCAGGGTACCTGAGTCCTAGGGGCTGCAGTACCTGGATGTCAAGGGTAGAGAAGTAGCTGAGCAACTGTGTGTCATCAGTGAGGTCAGGGCGGCCACAGGCAGGGCACACCATGTCTGTGATGTGCTTCTCCTTCAAGGCGATGGTGAAGTGCTGGCGGAAGCACTCAGGACAGATGGTACACTCACAGGAAGTCAGGGCCTGCATCTGGAGGGTGAGGGGTTGGAGGGGAGGGGTCAGAAGCCACAGCTGCCAGCCTGGGGAAAAGGCAGTAGCCAGGTGTCCACTAAGAAATCAGGGTCTAATTAACAACTGGGCAGGGCTGACAACTTTAAGTGCCAGTAGGGGACAGGCAGGCAACCAAAACATCTGAAGACAGTAAGGTGGAGGAAAACAGACAATGGTGACCCCTAAGGTAAAGGCAAAAGTGCCTCTAAAGGCATTAGCATTCCATTAAAAATAAATATACAAATAACATCCTCGAAATGACAAAACTATAGAGGTGGAGAACAGATTCATGGTTGCCAGGTGACTGGACGTGGGGGCAGAAGGGTATGACTAAAGGGGTAAAAGAGGGAGTTGCTTTGTGGTGATGAAACAATCTGTATCTTGATTATAGTGTTGGTTATATGCATCTATATGTGGGACACAACTGTATAGAACCACACATACACACACACAGGTACATCCATGTGAAAAATAAAATCTGTAGGATAGCTAAAACTGTGACAATGTCTTTTTCTTGGTCTTGATATTGTACTATAATTATATAAGGTGTCACCACTAGGGGCTGGGCGTGGTGGCTCACACCTGTATTTCCAGTACTTTGGGAAGCCAAGGAAGGCGGATCACTTGAGGTCAGGAGTTTGAGACCAGCCTGGCCAACATCATGGAACGTTGTCTCTACTAAAAATACAAAAATTAGGCTGGGCATGATGGTTCACACCTGTAATCCCAACACTTTGGGAGACTGAGGCAGGCAGATCATCTGTGGTCAGAAGTTGGAGACCAGCCTGACCAATGGAGAAACCCTGTCTCTACTAAAAATCCAAAACTAGCAAGGTGTGGTGGCGCATGCCTGTAATCCCAGGAACTCGAGAGGCTGAGGCAGCAGAATCGCTTGAATCCAGGAGGTGGAGGTTGCACCATTGCACTCCAGCCTGGGCAATAACAGCGAAAACTCCATTTCAAAAAAAAAGAAAAAAAGTTGCTGGGCGCGGTGGCTCATGCCTGTAATCCCAGCACTTTGGGAGGCTGAGGTGGGCGGATCACCTGAGGTCAGGGGTTCGAGACCAGCCTGACCAATATGGTGAAACCCCATCTTAAAAAAAATAAAAAAATAAAAAATTAGCCAGGTGTAGTTGCAGGTGCTTGTAAATCACAGTTACTTGGGAGGCTAAGACAGGAGAATTGCTTGAATCCAGGAGGTGGAGGTTGCAGTGAGCTGAGATTGCACCACTGCACTCCAGCCTGAGTGACAGAGCAAGCCTGTTTCAAAAACAAGTCATCAGTGGGTGAAGGTGAGTGAAAAGTATATAGAACTCTATGTACTATTTTTGAAACTTGCCGTAGATTCTACAATAATTATTATTATTTTTTTTGAGATGGAGTCTCATTTTGTTGCTCAGACTGGAGGGCCATGGCACAATCTTGGCTCACTGCAACCTCTGCCTCCCAGGTTCAAGAGATTCTCCTGCCTCAGCTTCCCAAGTAGCTGGAATTGCAGGTACCAGCCACCACACCCGGCTAATTTTTTTTTTTTTTTTGAAACTGGGTTTTACCATGTTGGCCAGGCTGGTCTCAAACTCCTGACCTCAGGTGATTCAACCACCTCTGCCTCCCAAAGTGCTGGGATTACTGATGTGAGCCACCATGACCGGCTGATTCTACAATTATTTTAAAATACAGTGTAAAACAAAAATAAAACACATATAGAGCCAGTCTGACTAGTCTGACCTAGAGTTCGTGGAGGCTCAGGAGTTAAGAAGGGCTTGTTCCTATAAACTGGATATTTGCTGCTATTAAAGAATTACTGTTCATTTTTTTGGTGTGACAATAGTAGTATAGCTATGTTTTCATGAAGAATTTTGTTGTATATGATGCCTCATGCCTGTAATCCTAGATATTTTGGAGGCTAAGGCAGGAGAGTTGCTTGAAGCCAGGAGTTAGAGACCAGCCTGGGCAACACAGCAAGACTCCTATCTCTAGAAAAATAAAGTTGGCCGGGCACTGTGGATCACGCCTGTAATCCTGTTGGGAGGCCGAGACGGGTGGATCACCTGAGGTCAGGAGTTTAACACCAGCCTGGCCAACATGGTAAAACCTGTCTCTACTAAAAGCATAAAAACTAGCCGGGTGTGGTGGCACATGCCTGTAATCCCAGCTATTCAGGAGGCTGAGGCAGGAAAATCGCTTAAACCCAGGAGGCGGAGGTCGCAGTGAGCCAAGATTGCGCCACTGCACTCCAGCTTGGGGGACAAGAGTAAAAGTCTGTCTCAAAAAAAATAAAGTTTTACATTTTAGAGATACATACTGAAGCGTTTATAGATAAGCTATTATTATTCCTGGTATTTGCTTCAAAATAACCATCTGTGTATATAAGTGAAATAAAGACTGTTTGTTGAATTGCTGAAGCTTGGTGATGAATACACTGGGAGTGGAGGGGTTGTGGGGGAGTATGGGAATTTGTTACACAGTGTAGTAAAATTTTTCTACTATTTCGTGTTTGAAAATTTCCATAATAGAACATTTTTTTTTTTTAAAAAGGAAGGAGGTTGCCTCTTCCTGCCCTCCGCCTGCCAGAAACCTTCAGGGGTACACAGGCAACTGCAGAGCAGAAGACAGGATCAGAGATGGGACTGGGGTAGGGTGGGGGTCCAAAAGAATACTTCTCTTAACCAGGTACTGTGGGGAGGGACTTACCCGGTTGTGGGGCAGGGCCCAGCCACACACAGCACACTCCTGGGCAAGCAAGCGGCGCAGGAAGGCCCGGTCCTGGCTGTGCCTCACAGCTTCTACCACGTCCCCCAACTCATAGTTCCTTGGTGTCTCCTGCAGCAGCGACAGTGCCAGCTCTGCCCGGCCCCAGCTGGGGAGTGTGTAGACTGCCAAAAGCCGCCTGACCAGGCTCTGCAATGTGATTCAGGTGGAAGGGGGAATTGGCTGTCAGACTCCAGGGACCCTTCCCCTCTTGTTCCTCTAGGTGGACACTTGGGCTTCTCGCCTCCCTCTTGCTTCTCTAGGTGGACATTTGGGCTTCTCGCCTCCCCCCACCTGCTTGTCCGGCCCATCCCAGGAGGGGGTGGGCTCAGGGCCACTGTCCCAGAGGCGCTGGCGGAAGGGCTCCAGGCGTTGGCGCTGTAGCTCAGTCAGGGCCCGTGACACATCACCTCCATGTTGGAACAATGCCTGGAGAGACCCCTCCTCAGGCCCAAAGCCTAGAGACTGAAGCTCCTGCACCTGTAAGTTGGGAGTGGCAAAAGGGAGTGAAGTGGGAAAGCAAGCAAGGGAGGGAATGAGAGATGCAGATTCTCAACACTATCCCATATCTAGCAGAGCTGATACCTTCCTTCGCCTGGTCCTCACACACTCCTCCACAGCTTCATCAAGGTTGCCATGATGATCCAGCCAGGCTTTCCGGGCCTCCTGACAGGAAAAGGCACCCAGCCCAGGGTCCTGCTGTCCAGCCAGCTCAGCCACCATCTCCAGCACGTAGGGCAGTTCTGAGCGCAACCACTGCAGAGGCACCTCAGTGCCTGAGTACTGCAGAGCCGAGAAGATCTCCTCTGGACAGGCACCTGCGGCTTCCCCTTCCTAAGGCACAGTCCCACCCATCAGGCCCATCAGCAGGGGTACCCTTCACCCACCCTCAGCCTGAACTAAGATGGTGACAGTGGATGAGCTCAGACATATGGATCATGTGACCAGTGCACAGTATATTAACTGCCTCAGTAAGAGGCAGCTGTTGCTAACAATGACAAGATTTATAGAAACCATTAACCACCTGTAGCATCTCCTTTCCCACACCAGCTCAGCCCTACCTCAACCCAGGCCCAGTCCTTACCCGGATCATGCTCACTAGCTGGAGGCCTTCCTCCCGCATCTTGTCTTGGCGCTGCTTCTCAGGGTCTCCACAGGAACTGGGCAGAGGGGCACTAAGGCGTCGTGGGGGCCCAGGCTTGGGGAGTCCCTTTTCCAAAGAGCTGGCATGGGGCTGGGGGGCATGTTGTACTGGGATGGGGTTACTTGTCCGGTTGCACATAACACACACCCAGCCAGGGCTTGAGTTGCAGAAGGTACAGTGAATACAGTACCAGACTTGAGTCTGGGCAGAGGCCAGCAAAGTATCCCCCTGCTGGGAAGGCAGAGAGAATTATCCCTTTGACTGGCTGGCTGAGGTTCACAACAGAAATACAGGGAGTTGGGAGGAATTGAAGGAAAACATGGGATAGGGAAGAAGAGAATGACCTGAGGTAACATGCAACAGGGAGCTGGGAAGGCCAGGAACAGGTTACCTGAAGGGGTTGCAGGCAAATGCCAGCATCTCGGGAATCCACCACCAAGCTGGGAGGCTGGGCCAGCCGAGGTCGCTCACATATGGAACAGAGCACAGCCGCTGCCTCATTCTCAAAGGTACAGCTCTGGCAGGCCCACCGACCCCGTGTAAGCTCAAGTTCTAGGCCTCCAGTTCCAAGGGGAACCTCAGTTCCCAACCCCAACCCCTTACAGCCTCGGGGCCGATCACAGGCCACACAGAGCACTGCCCAAGGCTCATTTAGCATGGCACAGGCAGCACAGTGCCAGGGCAAACGAGCACTTGCAGGATTAGGGGAAGAAAGAGAGCTGTCTCCTAGGGCCAGTAGGGAGGTCGACTGGGGCCGTGGTTGGGCTGAGGCAGGTAAACTGTAATGGAAAAGCAGACGTGGCCTGCTGAAGTGGCACCTGGTTCCTGGATCCGATCCCTCATCTCTAAGCATTCCCCATTTCCTTGGTAATGACCCATGTCACTGGTCTTTGCACACAGTCTCTGTCTCGAACACTCCTATACCCGTAGCCTGTGCAACATTTAAGTGACAGCTTAAAGCTCACTTCTTCCTAGTAGATACTATTAATATATGGCCTGACCTACACTAGGTGTTTAAAATGTTGCCAGCTGATTCAGCTGACCCTTCAGATCAGGTTCCAGCCACCTATTACCATGATAACCTGGGTTATTGCAATTGCTACTTGCTTGATGTGTATGTCTATTTTTTTATTTTTTTAATTTTTTTTTTGAGACAGAGTTTCGCTCTTGTTACCCAGGCTGGAGTGCAATGGCGTGATCTCGGCTCACCGCAACCTCTGCCCCCTGGGTTCAGGCAATTCTCCTGCCTCAACCTCCTGAGTAGCTGGGATTACAGGCACGCGCCACCGTGCCCAGCTAATTTTTTGTAATTTTTAGTAGAGACGGGGTTTCACCATGTTGACCAGGATGGTCTTGATCTGTTGACCTCGTGATCCACCCGCCTCGGCCTCCCAAAGTGCTGGGATTACAGGCTTGAGCCACTGCGCCCAGCCCTATGTGTACATTTATTATCTCCTCCAGGGTTCTGACTGGCTGCTTATCCTCTATTAAACAGTCTTCAGCACAGAACCTGGCATGTAGTAGTCCATAATCAAGTGATCTTAAGTTCTCTAAATTTCACTCCCACCCAGAAGAGAAGGCCTCTCACCTGGGGCTCAGGTGGGTACCCTGGAGGACTCCAGGCAGGGTCTGGCGGAGGTGATGAGCACGGGATGGGTGTCCATGGAATAGGTGGTCACAGGCTGGACAGAGGGCATGTTTACAGGATGGGCAGTGCAGTGTGCCTGGGGCAGAACCACAGAGGAAGCAGCGACCAAGAGCGGAGCCTGGAGAGCAGGAGAGAGAGAATGGAACATCTTTCCAAGAAAGAACAGGTTACATCTGAATCTGCTGTGGATGGGGGCAAATTACAAGACTATTTTTCAACACATCTGGACCCAAGGAAACAATTTTAATCTCTTTTAAAAAACAAAGGGAGCTGGGCGGGCCGGCTCATGCCTGTAATCACTTGGGAGGCCAATGTGAGTGAATCACGAAGTCAAGAGATTGAGACCATCCTGGCCAACATGGCAAAACCCCTTCTCTACCCAAAATACAAAAATTAGTGTGGTGTGGTGGCACGCGCCTGCGGTCCCAGCTACTCGGGAGGCTGAGGCAGGAGAATCGCTTAAATGCGGGAGGCGGAGGTTGCAGTGAGCCGAGATCACGCCACTTGCACTCCAGCTTGGCGAGAGAGCAAGACTCTGTCTCAAAACAAAACCAAAAAAAAAACCCAAAGCAGCTGGGCACAATGGCTCACACCTGTAAGTAATCCCAGCACTTTGGGAGGCTGAGGCAGGCAGAACACCTGAGGCAGGGAGTATGAGACCAGCCTAACCAACACAGAGAAACCCCATCTCTACTAAAAATACAAAATTAGCTGGGCATGGTGGCACACGCCTGTACTCCCAGCTACTCAGGAGGCTGAGGCTGAAGAATTGCTTGAACCCCAGGAGGTGGAGATTGCCTTGAGCTGAGATGGTGCCATTACACTCCAGCCTGTGCACCAAGAGCAAAACTCCATCTCAAAAAACAAAAAGGAAGATAACGAAGAGGATAGAGGAGCATCCCAAATTTCCATCAGTATAGCTTTCTACTTGGTCCCCAATTTAGGACCAATAATACCTGGGGCAGAAGGTGTGGTGAGGGGGCCAGGAGCAATCTCTCTCAATAGGGGGTCAAGTTCTGAAAGCTGCAGCATCTGAAAAAGAAAGGGCAAGCAATGAACAAGGGTTTAGGAACACAGAGTCCACAATTCCTGTTCCCTTTGGTACACCAGCCCCTTTCCTGCCTTCCTTACATCATCTTCAATCTTGTCTTCCAACAGCTGCTCCAGTGCCTGCTGTCGTGGATGAGTATTCTGCAATAATACAGATAAAAACGGTTTACAGGCTGGGCGTGGTGGCTCACGCCTGTAATCCCAGCACTTTGGGAGGTCGAGGCGGGTGGATCACGAGGTCAACAGATCGAGACCATCCTGGTCAACAGGGTGAAACCCCGTCTCCACTATAAATACAAAAAATTAGCTGGGCATGGCGGCGCGTGCCTGTAATCCCAGCTACTCAGGAGGCTGAGGCAGGAGAATTGCCTGAACCCAGGAGGCAGAGGTTGCAGTGAGCCGAGATTGCGCCATTGCACTCCAGCCTGGGTAACAAGAGCCAAACTCTGTCTCAAAAAAAAAAAAAAAAAAAAAAAAACAAAAACAAAAAAAAAAACGGTTTACACCAAGACCTCTAGAACAAAGCCCTCCCGCTAGGCCCTCCCTAGTCCCTTAACATTCACAGAGGGAAAATCGGTACCCGGAGCTCCCAGAATGCTGAACTATGCCCATAGTTCAGCAGCACGGGGGTCCTCAGACTTACTAGAGTTAGGCTGAGCTCCCCGGCCCTGGTGCATTAAGTCCATCAAGACTAGAGGAGCATCTCACCTGCAACAGCAGGCTGAGCTCTGTCCGAAGCAGCAGTACTTCCAATGTGACTGTAGCAACCTGGTGCTCATCTGGCTCCTCCTGCCCTTCGGGGAAGCTCAACCCATCTGGCTGCTCCTCGGTGTAGCCATATAACCGCAGCACATCTCGGCCCCCCTGCCACACACATTCACAACCAGTCACCACCCAGGCTTCCTGTCCAGAAGGGCTGAACACCTCCCCATTCAGCCCAGCCTTAGGCCTTTTCTAGCCAAACACCAGCCCACTCTACCATAATGCCCAGGGGATTCACCTGCACAGCATCCACCGTGCTGCAAAAGACAGGGTTATTAAACTTGACGCCACGCCAGTACCGGGGTCGCTGAGGGCTGAGAAGATTGCGGCCATATTTCTCCAGGATGTTCAGGGCCGTGGACAGGGTGTTGAGGTAGTTTCGGGGCTGGAAGCAGTCAGAGCAGAGTTGTGAGCATGGTCCGGGCCTCAGGCCCTGTGTTCCCCTTCCAAGCGGGGCCCAGCCTCACCTCCCCATGAGCGTTGCAGCGAACCAGGCGTGCGGCGTCCAGCTGCAGGTAGCGGGCGGCTGGCGGCAGAGAGCTGACTAGGAGCGGCCGGAGCTGCTCTAGGGAAAACACCTGCGCGGAATCCCTCCTCAGGGCGCTGGCCAGCTCCTCGCGGGCCGCCAGGAAGGCCCGCTCCTCCTCCTCCCCCGGCATCCTGAGGCAGTAGTCAGCCCCAGCCTCGCCGCCCGCCGGGACCCGGCGCGGGCAGCGCGCGGCCCGAGCGCCGCCCCTCGCGTCTGGTGCCCGGCTTTGAGGCCCACCCCGGGCCGCGCAGCCGCCCCAGGTCACTAAGACCACGGTCACTCGCCAGCCCCCGGCCCAGCGCCAGGGTTAGCCAAGAACAGGAAATACTAGGAAAGAGGGCGGGACTGAGACCCAATTTCAGAGGAACGGGCGGGGCTTAACGTTAAGGTTGGAGCCGGGGTTGGGAAAGTAGGGGGCGTGGCCAAGAGGGAGGGCCAGATCCTAACCAATCAGTAGGCAAGTGGCTCCTGGCTCCTCCCTCAGCGCGCCCCAACTTCTTTCCTCAGTGAGGTGTTCTTCTCCGCCTTCCTTTAGTCTGGTTCCACCTCTTCCGGATAGCCCCAGGCGTGGGGTTACCCTATTCAGCTCAAAACCTTCCTCTTTCTAGCTGGACCAGTCCGCTACGCTCCGGGCCTTACCGGGGAAGTCCCACCCAGCAGGGGACCCGACTCTGGCCGGTCCTATCCCCTCTCGAGCGAGTCTCGCCCCATCTCCGGTCTGTCCTAAAGGCAGCGGGAAGACCCTCACTCAGCCTCCGCCGGCTCCCTTCCACCGGCAGCTAGGCCTTCTCCACCCTAGGTGCTTTCTCTGGCTGCTCCTCCCACTCCCTCTGATCTCTCTCCGTCCACTACTTGAGGTCGAGACTTCTCGGGGGAGCCCCGCCACTGGAGACCCGCTTTTCCAACTCCTACTTCTTTTACCCCAACCCTGGACTTCCCGTTGGCCCTAGCTATAAGCCCCGCCCCTCTCCGAGAGACAGCCCCCACTCCGGTCTTCGCGGTCCCACTCACCCTAGCCCCTCCCTCGGACAGCCCCTGGGCTTGTGACCCAGCCAGCACCGCCTCTCCTAATTGGCAACTAGCTGGGAATGGCTGAGGGGCTACCTACTGCTTGCTGCTTGCCAGGGGGAGGAGGGGGGCGGAAAGAAGAAAGGGGGCGGGGTGGAGGGGGGCGGGCCTGGACCTGGGGAGCGAAAGCGAAAGCCCGGGCGACTCGCCCGGAGACCAGAGATCTAGCGACTTGAAGCAGCATGGCCAAGCCGTGTGGGGTGCGCCTGAGCGGGGAGGCCCGCAAACAGGTAATGGAGAATCGGAGGCCAGGAAGGCGTCGGGGAACCCTTTTGGGTGGAGGCCAAGCTGGGTGGTTCAGGGGACCAAAGCAGTGCCAGAGAACTCCCCCAGTCTCTCTAGTGCTTTCACTTCTCGGGGATTCCCAGGTTCCAGCCCTCTGACTCTGCACTGAGCAGGAGCTTCCAGGGAAAACTGGCTTGTGGTGGGAAAGGCCTGAGCCGCAGTTGGATGGCACCCTATTGGGGGTGGAAGCTTTTGACAACCCAGACCCTTAACCAACATCCGGGTACTGCTCTCTGTAGGTGGAGGTCTTCAGGCAGAATCTTTTCCAGGAGGTAAGTGTCTGGATTTAAGAGATTTGACCCAGAATTTTAGAACAATACTTGAGGATAAAAACCTCTCAGAATGACCCCCCAAGTCACCCTAGACTTAGCCCTATTTCCCTTACCAAGCCTTCACCCGAAGTAACCCCGGAACTATTGATAACTACCTTTACTCTGACCTTTCTTAGGACTCTCCCCACTTCTGGCACTTCTCCCCTCTTTTGAGGTAGAGGAAAAAACGCCATGGCTCCCAAAGCAGGAATATCACAGTTGTAACCTTGGTTCTGCCACTTACCAGCTTGGGCAAGTCCCTTCATTTTCAGGTCTTAAGTTTCCTCATTTACAAGTCTTGGACCCGGTGATTTCCAAAGGCCCCTCCAGTTCCATTTGCCACACATCTCATTGAGCATATTATGTGATTCCCCTCCCTTGCAATGTAACCCACAGGCTGAGGAATTCCTCTACAGATTCTTGCCACAGAAAATCATATACCTGAATCAGCTCTTGCAAGTGAGTAGTGTGGGCCCCTCCTGCCCCATCCCATGTCCTCTCTCCCCTTTGCCCACCCTCTCTAGCCAACAACTGGATTCAGCATGCAGAGAATTATTTCAAACAGTGGATTGGGGATGTTAGGATGGTGTGAGACCTGAGCCTAGGTGGGGAGGCAGAAAGCAAGTAGGATGTGTGGAGGGAAGTCTGTGACCCAGGAAGAAGGGAAGAGGTTGGGTAGCCCCTGACAGTGAGCTCTGTGCAGGAGGACTCCCTCAATGTGGCTGACCTGACTTCCCTCCGGGCCACACTGGACATCCCCATCCCAGATCCTCCACCTAAGGATGATGAGGTGAGACACTCAGGGTGCAGGACTTGGACTATAAACCCAATGGAGATGATAGCCCTTCAACCTCTGTAACTTTTCTAAAGCTACTTTCCCCCTTTTTGTCTTAGATGGAAACAGATAAGCAGGAGAAGAAAGAAGGTAAGAGAGATAAGAGGTGACTAGGAAAGGGGAGATGGCACATTGACTGCTGGATGAGAAAGGACCTGAATCCTCTCTTTCTCACAGTCCCTAAGTGTGGATTTCTCCCTGGGAATGAGAAGGTCCTGTCCCTGCTTGCCCTGGTTAAGCCAGAAGTCTGGACTCTCAAAGAGAAATGCATTCTGGTAAGCCGGGGAGCTGAGGGAAGTGGAAAGAAAAGACAAACAAGGTGAGGCACTGGACTCCGCCATAGATAGCAGTCCTTCATACAGAGACCTAGTCCTGAAAAAGAAGATGTCCTTCTGTGCCTTGGGCTTAGATCCTCTTAGTTCTCCTCATTCTGTTAGACCTCTCATATCATAATGGTACCCCCCAAATTAGAGACTGTACAGTATCCACTCTGTAACCTCAGAACCTACTGCTGTATCAGGTTTATAGTAGAGGTGGTATGATATAGTGAGTAAATTGGTTTAAAAGATTGAACCCTGGACAGAGACTGCTTGGGTTCAAATCATGATTTTATCAGTTACCTTGCTGGTAACCTTAAGTAAGTCACTTACACATTCTGTGATTCAATTTTTTCATCTGTTAAATGGGTATAATAAGAATGTGTATCTCGGGCCAGGCGTGGTGGCTCACACCTGTAATCCCAGCACTTTGAGAGGCTGAGGCGGGTGGATCATGAGGTCAGGAGTTCGAGACTGACCTGACCAATATGGTAAACCCCATATCTACTAAAAATACAAAAAAAAAAAAATACCAGGTGTGGTGGCACGTGCCTGTAATCCCAGCTACTCTGGAGGCTGAGGCAGGAGAATCGCTTGAACCTGGGAGGCAGAGGTTGCAGTGAACGAAGATCAAGCCATTGCACTCCAGCCTGGGTGACAGAGCAAGACTCCGTCTCAAAAAAGAAAAAAAAAAAATATCTCGGAAGGTTGCTATGATGATTAAATGAGATGAGTATATGGCACAGTGCCTAGTACATAATAAGTAACCAACTAAATATAACTACTTTTTAGGAAGTGACAGTATGCAACCCAGTATGTTTTTTGAAAGATTCTTACATGATACCTCTTAACACAGTTAATCACGTGGATCCAGCACCTGATCCCCAAGATTGAAGATGGAAATGATTTTGGAGTAGCAATCCAGGTAATAAAAGGGTAGCTGAAGACACTGGGAGTGGGGAGAGACTTGGAGGATGAGAGTTAGGATCTGGACATGAACCAGAAGGAGGAGGAAGATAGTGTTTGAAGGGGGAAGAACATGAAGTGTTGTCTTTGCCTCCCATGTCACCATAGGAGAAGGTACTGGAGAGGGTGAATGCCGTCAAGACCAAAGTGGAAGCTTTCCAGACAACCATTTCCAAGTGAGGGGAGCTGGAGGACCAGTATAGGGGGGCAGTAGGGGCATTTCTTTGGGACCTCCAAAGCTGGGTAGCCCCATCACGATGATGGGAGACTTTGGGGAGGGTCTGAGGGAGTACATCTCCCTCAACACTCATTCCTGTGGTATTCCCTTGCTTCTGGCAGGTACTTCTCAGAACGTGGGGATGCTGTGGCCAAGGCCTCCAAGGAGACTCATGTGGTGAGTGGATAGTCCACCTGCCTTTTATCTGGGGGTGGGAAGAGGGGTGTGGAGGAAGAGGTCCTCCTTGTCTTGTTTGTGACCTTCCCAATAGTAAGCTAAAAGCATTGCCTAGAAAAACTGATTTGGGCTTCAACAACCTTGATCCTTTTCTCTGCTCAGTCCTTTGGGATCCTATTTCTTGGTGCTAAGAAGGGGTTCATTCTCAAGTTAACCTATTTCCTATAAAAGGAAACCATACTCATGTCCCAACATCCCATGGGACTGACTCAGCTTTGCCTCCCACATTGCAGATGGATTACCGGGCCTTGGTGCACGAGCGAGATGAGGCAGCCTATGGGGAACTCAGGGCCATGGTGCTGGACCTGAGGGCCTTCTATGTGAGTGTGGAGTAAGCCCTTAGGGCAGGGGTGGGCAGGGGATTGACCAAGAACCTCACTCTTGCTCCTTGGCCTTCTCCCAGGCTGAGCTTTATCATATCATAAGCAGCAACCTGGAGAAAATTGTCAACCCAAAGGGTGAAGAGAAGCCATCTATGTACTGAACCCAGGACTAGAAGGAAAATAAATGACCCAAATAAAAGACCTTCCTGTGTGTGTTATTCATTCAAAAAACATTTATTGAGTGGCACCTATGTCCAGACTGAAGATGAATCGTGGGAAGGGGTGGGTGTCATGAAGACAAAGATGAATTAGATGTCCATGGTAATCTTAAGAGGCCCTCCAAAGGAACAGGATGGGGATTGTTACATGCCATGACAAACATGCAGATAACCTATATTTTGAAATTTCACAATATTATTTTCATTCAAAGGTCTCATGAATTAGTGGAAGAGGTGGCATTTGCACAGAGCCCTTACAGGAATAATCAGGCTTTAGCTAGACATGGGGACATCAGGAATGAAGAAAGAATCCTCATTAGTTTAGGAGAAGCCTAGGAGAATGAGGTTTCACTGGGAGAACTATGGATGAATGATTGGACTCCTTTTTTTTTTTTGAGACGGAGTTTCACTCTTGTTACCCA